ATTTAACACAGTACGTGTGACGTCACACGCACTCGTCACTGCATTTGAAATAAAAATGAGCGATTATTTCATACTATTTCACGTTAAAAGTACATCGAGCTCGCTTTGAGGCTTTGCCTTTTTCATATTATAATTGATTTATCAGAAATATGTAAAAATACTGACTTTACAGACGTCTATTGTTAAAGGAACTAAATAGACAGTATTGTCACATTGTGCTACACCATCTTTTCCGACTCTACTATTACTTGGGAGTACGCGATCTTAATCTGATGTCATAGTATCTATCTATAAAACGGACATTTTGTGGAGATCAGTAATGCTCGGAGATACCACAAAATTTATACCATATTTTCTCGAGCAAAAATAAGAATAAGACCAAATAAGACGAACTAAACAATAAACCGGTGGCGTTCCAAGTAAGATCAATGCACAGAAGGAGCTGAATTTGTTTGGGTTTCAGAATGTCAGAAAGGTGAATGTTGTGAGAGTATAAACCAATTTGTTTTTGTATAGTGTCAGCAATGCTGTTCCCAGTGGTATAACTGTAGCAAATTGGCTATTAGGCTTATTGCAACACTGATATTCAATTCAATGTTCATTTGGCTTAAATAATTAAAACAATAAAATAAAAATTTGAAAAAAGGTTGTCTTATCTAGGATTCCATCCCCAGACCTCTCGCTTCTGAAGGTTGCCTTATCTGGGATTTGAACCCCAGTCATCTCGCTTCTAAAGCTAGCGTGTAACCCCTGGACCACGGGGATATAATATATCAACATGAAGCAAACCATGTTATTCTAAATTAAAGTTTGTAATCATTATTCATTTCGAGATATTTTGTAAACCTGATGGAAACACTGATGGAAATAGTCATGTCCCTGTCCTAGAGTCAACATCCTTACTTCATTTTTAAGAAAGTCTAAATAACAAATGTTTAGTTAGGCGATCACAATAATCTGAGGCTTTTTACGGACATAGCCGAGCAATTTTCGTTGAATCTATTAAGGCTCAACAGAAGATAGGATTTTGCAGTACAACACCAATTAAAACTAAGATGTACAAGGAAATCTTAATGTGTGAAGGTTAATATTTCTTGATTTCATACAACTTAATACAAGATTTACAGGATAGGACCTACCACGATGATAGATGACATATTTACCAATTATCCCCTGATAATGTGTTTAATGAATGTTATTCAAGAACAATTAGGGCTAAAATATCAACAAATTAGTAAGTAGTAGGGGTAAAAATGATCTTGAAAAACTCTTTGGGAGACCCAAAGTTGTGTTATTTTCGAATCCCAAATCATTCAGAAAATGATTATGTCCCGGTATTGAACTGTTCACTAATCAGAGGAGGGGGTATCTTGTAAGCGGCCGGATAGCACAGTCAGTAGAGCCGCAGTACGGTATTTCCGAGGGCCCCAGATACTAGTCTCGGTCAGGCTTCACATTTATTTCTTCCTTTAACGCAGTCACTAGTGCCGCAGTACGGTATTCCGAGGGTCCAAGGTTTGAGTTTCGGTCAGGCTGCACATTAATCTCTTCCTGTTACACAGTCAGAAGAGCCTGTGTACGGTATTCCGAGGGTCCCAGATTTGAGTCTCGATCAACTGTTTATTAATCTCTCCCTGTTACACAGTCAGTAGAGCCTCATTACGGTATTCCGAAGGTCCCAGGTTTGAGTCTCGGTCAGGCTGTTACAATAAGAAACTATTTTTATAAAAATAATGGAGGAGTAAAGAATTACACAATATTGGAAATCATCGATCAATCGGGATCTTTCAGAGGCTTTTTTTAAATATTAATCAATTTGTCAATCTTTACGCAGTGATCTCCCCTTAACTTTTCGGCGTTAGTGTAAAGGATCAGGGTCTGAAATTTCGCTACCATGATTTGTTTGGACAAATAAAATCTAGTATTCATTACTATTAAGTACGTGTATAAAGTTAAAACACTGGGCATATTATCATTCTAACTATCATATCCATTCAATTGTAATTGTTCAAAACGGTTTATGCTTTAGAATCCGACTTTTCTGTCACGACGCACTTACGAACTTTCGCTATACGTATATGCAGTATTTCGATAGAGCGGAAGTCAGTGCGCGAGCATGCGCTTTGCCATATCTCGTTCAGTTACCGCTCACGTTTTAAACTCGGTTGCTATGAAACGACACTAAGTGTACATGGCTTTTACAACTAAAATATCAGACAAACACATTAAAACAATACACATAAACTACACATAGTTGTTTTCCATATTAATATTTTGCATTTGAAACTGATAGTCAAACAAATATCTCAATATTCTTACTGATTTAATGTATTGTGTACATGTGATGACAGCAACGCTGAGTGTTAGATTACTTTCGGTTCAGAAAATTCATTTGTTTACCATCAAAACTCATATGTTTACTATAGGAACCATATATAGATAGAAAGTAAATTAAACAAGGGTAAAGAAAAAATTGTCCGTTTCTGAACAAAAAATCGAATAAATAAATACAAAGTCTTTTTAAAAGGTCCCTTCTTTGAGTTCATTTGAAAGGGGAATAATTTGGTGGAATTTTAGACAGGGAAACAGGGAGTTATCTTTCATGGCTAGGGAATATGGCCGACTGAAATCATGCCAATCGCAACTACTCGGCCCTTTCCGTCAGTCTTCGGATAAGGACCTCGAACACAATAGTATGAATACACAGAACGGATGCGGTATTCCGGTCTAACCTACGCTAAGAAACTAAACATGTAAACAAATAGTAATTTAATGCTGGGAGTTGTTGACAAGTTTATTTCCAATATATGTAGTTAAAGTCCACCTAAAATAAGTGAATTCATAGGTACAAAAGCAAACAAAACATTATTTCTATATTTACTAATATGGCTGCAGAAACCGAAAGTACAAAAAACCAACCTTTTGACATTTAGTCGGATTTGTTTAAAATTGAACATCAGTGGGCATATTTAAATTACAAATTGTTGTCAGACATATTTTCAAGCATTAGAGTACCGGAACAGACATTAGATGTCAAATATTTACATTCGTTTTACATTATCTCTGTTTCTGTTTACATTTGTAAACCACGTGGTAGAACTACTTTCAATCCGTATTGTTTCCGAGGTTAATATTATAGATAATAGCCGAGGCAGTTCCGAATGAAATCATGCAAGCAAGTTTGTAAGTGCGACGTATGCGCAGATGTATGTCACGTGATCATGTAGAACGCCTGACGTCACACTCATTGTCACGATGTCGTCGTAATGCGTCACGCGGGAGCTATGAACGACATATGTTAAATTTCATGCGGCCAGAAGTCACCTCGCCTAATCGCAACTTATGATATCCAATCTATTTATAACTTTATAGGGACGGACCGAATTACTAATGTTATTTGAACTTTTTTTTATGTATTTTTATAATTTTTTCTATATATTTGCATTGTACAATTTACGTATGTTGTGATTTGTTGAACTGGTATGGAATCGGTGTACTAACTTACAAAAAAGAATTGTCTTGTACTACAACGTGTCTTTGTCATAAACCAATCGTCTTGACTTGCCGTTATAAGTACTGATATTTGGTGCACTTCTTGGCAGGGGAAATTTCACGTTTGTCATTACAATATGTCATTCTAAATTCTCAACATTTGGTGATATCAATTTTTCTTTGCTTTAAATACTCCTCGTGTATTATTAATGTATGCATTTATACATGTATTTCTTGTATATTAATAATTTTCTCACTTTGTATTATGACTATGCTATAATAATTTCTTGTGGAGGAGGAAGTTACTTAAATCTAAAATAAAATGCATTTCTGTTCTGCTTAATATAATGTACATCTAATTTATATATTCTGAAAAGTCCCTTGATAACAATTTGTTATTTTAGTATAAAAGTTCTTGTTCGCAGTTTTCATGTATATGTATAAATTGATTGTTGTATTTTTTATGAACAAATCGAAACAACATGTTACATAGTTTACGGCTGATTACATTTTATAATGTAAACAAGAATGTTGAGACATGTGTCATTTTAAATGACATTTGAAAATGAATTATCTGTCGAGAAAATCATACTTTAAAGCTCAAGGTGAATTCGCAGTAATTTCGTATTTCTATTTTCCAATCTGGCATCCAAATGCTCAATCCAATCGGAACTCCTCGGCTATTATTCACAATAGCCTATTGAAAGTTATTATACCACGTGGTTTGAAATGTAAACAGCAACAAAGAGTGTCATCTTTGTTAATGTAGAACGGGTGCATATATTTGACATCCAAATAAAGTCTTTTTCGGTTCAATTATGATTGAAAAAATGTCTGACAACCATTTTTATTTAAAAATGCAAACTGATGTACTATTATAACCAAATCCGACTTAATGTCAACAGGTTGGTAATTTGTGCTTTCGATTTCTACGACCATAATAATAAGTATATAAATAATGCACGGTTTATATTTAACTTGATATATTGGAAAAACAAAACCAGCAACTCCCGGCACTTAATTACTATTTGTTTACATGTTTAAGTTTCTTTGTGTATGTTAGACCGAAATACGTTTCTTAATAAATAGTGTGTCCGAAGACTGACGAAAATGCCGAAAATTTGCGATTGAGTCCTTTCCGTCAAAAGAACGGATTTTCGGGGTAGAAACCAAAAGTACAAAATGTCTACCTGTTGCCATTAAGTCGGATTTGTTTATAACTATACATCCGTGAGCGTTTTACAATTGATTAAAATTGTCAGACATATTTTCAATCAGAATGTTACCGAAACATACTTTTTCTTTTGGATGTTAGATTATATACATCAGTTATACATTATCAAAGATGACACTCTGTTTATGTTTACATCTAAAACCACGTGGTAGAACTACTTTCTATCCGTATTAAGTCCGAGGTCATAATGAATAAAAACCGAGGAGTTCCGATTGTTTGTTAATGCGTCATAAGTTTTCAAAGCGAGTATTATAAATATAACACAAATGAACAGTAATAATACAAATCAGCTTTAATTTAAAAACGGCCATTATCACATCACACTTTGTAACTTTGCTAAAACAAGCAACAAATTAGTTTAATTATAGTTCAGCATCTCTGTGAATAAAATGGCATCATCCAGTTATAACAGTGATTTATTCAAACCACGAGATATTGAGATGGAATCCTTGGATACTTAACACATTTTCCGTATACAGGAAGTCTGAGTCGGTCGAGTAAAGGTGGCATTACGAATGCGCAAAATGCGCGTGGGTACCACCTCTCGGCGCACACGCACAGTTTGCGACCAAGAACTTTAATCTTGCCAACAGGTATGATTTCGTCACCCCGCCTGCACGTTCTTTCTGTAAAATGAAAGCAAATAAAAGTTAAGTGACTTCAGGGTATTTCAGTAGAACCTGTTTTTTTTATAAGCTTGCTGATATCAGTTAGTTCATAAAATAATTGCTCCTAGCCTTCTTTAATTACTTTGTCAAGATATCATGAAAAATATTTGTGCTTCTCTCAAATTTGATTAAATACGTGAAAATTAGGACGAGATTATTAAAATTTGTGCTTGTATAATATACTATAGTCTGATTTTATTGACATGTCAATTATGAATAAATTATAACACTCATTTAAATATTCTATCCCATTTCGGTTCTTAGAATTGATATTAAGTACATAACTAATGTTTTGAAAAGTCACACCAGCTTGATGTATAGCTTAACCCCGTCGTCGTCACATCCGCAAAACCACAATCAGTTGAGTGATAGACGATAAGTCTGTGGTTCAATTCATAAATTTGCTATTGTTTTAGACCTACTCTTTCTTTATTTTCGCAGTATATTTGAAGTGTAATATAATTGTAATTGATGACCACGTGCTTGCAAAATTGTCTACACGGATATGAACCACCTTAGAAACACTGTTTTGTCTTTGTATTATTAATTTTAATCAGAATGAATTTCAAATATCAATTCTGAATTAAACCGTGTATTTTAAAAGGAGTTAAAACCAAAACAAGTTTAGGATATATTAAAACAAAACGAGCAACATACAAAAAAATCGCCGTTTCAAAAATGTTGAAAATATAACTAAGGAAAAAACAACAATAAAACGTGGACATACGCGGTTTTGGAATGTTACAACACGTAGAACATTTAGAAATTATAAATCCGTAGTTAATTCTATTGTGCTTTAATGCTCAGCGTAATTTCTTTGATTGATACAAATTAAATTAAATCACTTGTCACGAAACTAATTGAAAATCTATCGATATATTGAATGTAATTGAAACTGACAAATTAAAGGTTCTTTATGTCTAAGAAATACTATCATGGAATCATGAGAAAGGGAAATACATTGAGGGATCTTGGTATTTAAAACAATCAACGTTAATTCGATTAATTCTTGGTTCTGTCAGTTAGATATGTAAATGTTATTTTAATAAGTAAATTCTTTTACGTACATGTATAATATTTAAATGAAATGCAATACTGTACAAATATGTAATAAACTGTTTGCCAAGTAATAGAAAGAGCACCGAAACACGAGGCTATCTGATTTGTACGAGGGGGCGTAGCCCCAAAGTATAAATCAGATTGCCGAGTGTTTTGGTGTTCTCTCTCTTTTGTATCATAGTCAAACATAAAAACATGTTTCCTGTTGTCACAATTTTAAACCCCGGGAAAAAGTAACCAATGATCGAGCATCTGAATATGATATTTCTGCCGCTTTCCCTTTCTCTGCCGTCACAATATGTAAACCCCAGCAAAAATGAGCCAATCAACGGGCATGATCTGGAGTGCGGGTAACTGATACCTGCACTCCAGTTACCGCACTGTGCATGTATATGTATACGATTTAACTCTGACACTTTTTCAACAGAAAGGTCCCCAAACTATGATACAATATTTGATATCGGTCAGGTTTACGAAAATAAGTACTGAACATCATGACCACGTGCTCACAAATCGTTGGACATATTTGAATTTTATAGATGCTGGACATAGCAACAGCAACATCAATTGATAGTTTTGAACAGTCTATGCACTTAATTACTATATGAAAGTCCAATTTGTTACGAAGTAATGCTCTCTTTTCTATTTCATCCTAAGTTTATAAATGAGGTCACTGAAACCTATTAAAAATAATCGTTTGTAAGGAGTATACAGTCTAGTTAAAATATTCAACCCTAAGTATTGGAGTTCTGGCAATTGTTGGCGCCGTACCCTGTTAAAATAATTCTATGGGTCGATTTTGGTAAAAGGTCCACTTATAGGCTTTAAAAAATACTATCATTTTTATTTCTCAAAAACTATTTATTTTTGGTGTTGTGTTACATTTGTCAAAACATTAACTCATTTGCAATACAGGTGAACCATCTTTTGTTTCCTTTGCTCTTTGACAGTTACTGATCATACAGATATAATATTTTGTATGGATGTCAAATAACTACCTTGTTTACGTTTGCTACCTTTATGATTCATTATTTGAACGTTCTTCGCTATTTTCTTCAGATAATTTACCTTTAACATTCTTTTAACATTCTAAGACACATTTTTGTCCAAGAAAAAATATTTCTGGGGCTGAAATATGCCTTAAAAGTTGCTCCACTGAGGTAAACAAGTATCAAAATTTTATGACTTGAAATTCTTACATAGATCAAGTTAAGCACTTAAAAGTGAGAAATCCGCAAAAAAAATATTAAAAATATGCTCAGAATAATATTAAAATCTATTTTTGTGCGATTCTAAGCCAAATTAAAGTAAAAGCGTTGCAAAGCTTTTCACTTTTGGTTCTGATTCTGGAAAAAAATGGGGTGAGTGAATAATCTGAACATTTGCACACAAGTTGTTGGTGACCTACATGTAATGGCTCACAAATCTCGGACATTTCTAGCCCAGTCATGTAAAAAAACCTTAATAGAATCCTTTCTTGTGATAGTCACAAGAAGACGCGTTAATAGATTGTGAACTTTATCGTTGTCTTTACAAAGTAGACGCATCTTCAAAAATATTTTTAAAAGTTAAATAAAATTTAATGTTGATAAAGTGAGTTTATGGGAAAAAGAAATGAAACCTTACCAGGGCAATATAGGTTACAATTGATGTCAAACTTGGGGTCCACACATGTCAATTCATTTGCAGAGCAGTGCCTATGACATGTGGCCGTATTCGTTGAAGCATTACAGGTACAAACACTGCATACGTGACCAAAGTTCCCTGAAAATATAGACAAGTTATATTTCTTTCAATTAAGCATATTTGCATGTATGATATTATGTCACGATGATAGAGAGAATGTCAAATAATTACTATACAGGTTGTAATCAAACCAGGGCATATTCCATTACACGATAACATCATTGTAAAGCTTGTAAGTGAATAAAATAAAAAAAAATCATCAAGACTTTAAATTTTAAAATACAAATGCACAAAACAAGAGCATCAGATGCGGCACAAATGCTCGTCTATTAATTATAATTGTTCAGATAAATATTTAACAGTAAAAAAGGGAGAACAACTCAAGGAAATATTGGTTTCAGGACTATGCACCTTTTAACAACTGTTCCATTAACCATTCCAAGTTAAATATTGATAGCTTTGTTAGTTCTGAAACTGTCCTTGTAAATATTTCTTTCAGAATGATGTTCCTTGTTTAAGAACTGTTTCTTGTCATGATAAACAAGTATTCAAATTACGGGGAGAATTTATAAACAAAATGTTTATGAAATCTTGTCTCTTGATTGACGCAATCTTGAGAGTGACACAGCTCTGAGAGGGCTTCCGTATTAGTTAAAGTCAATTTTCCCAGTATGTGTGTAAAAGATATTTAGAGTGCGCTATGGTCGAGAATCTGAAGAAATTTTAATAACAAGAAGGTAGTAATACCTGAAATGTTCTGCTGGATTTACATCGGTTTTTTTTACAATAAATATGTTTTCTCTGTCAACATTTTTAGCGTTTTCGTTTTGTTTTTGTTTATGTGTGTGTTTTTTTTTCTTCTTTCTTTTCTTTCAGAAAAGCATAACAAATCACCAGGAGACTAGTGAATGTTTTACAAGTGTGCTAAAGGATGCATAACATGTGCTTAACTCCGTCATACGCATATCCATTGTGAAATTATTCAGAGAATAAAGTAAAATAAGAACTTTGAATAATATCTTACCGTTCGGGACGCCCTCTCCAAAGTACTCACATCCGCACTCAGGACAACAACTTTCATTGGTATATGCATACCTCGATTTTGGACAATTGCCAAGAGATGGACACGTGACGCCTTCACACTCGGGTTTGCACACTTTGCAACATGGGTCACCTTCCTTAGGTATTTGCATACCTAAACCACATTTCGGTTTTGGACAGAATTTTTTCGTGCATGTAATTATACCACCTTTGCAGCATTGGCACGCTTTACAAGGCAAGGTAGGATGAATAAACGGACCTGAAACCCATCAATATCATTCTTTTTATAAAAAGGTATCATGTTATAGTTTATAGTTTTGAAAAGTTATATTTAAATATTTCTTTGTATCTGGAACAAAATCATATTAATATACAATGTATGTATATATATTACATAGATAATGGCAAATACCCAATACCAAATGTGCACGAATTATTATTAGTATAATGTTTTGAAGAAGTATATGCGAAGTCATTTCTAAAGCTATCAAAAATAGCAGTTGAATATTTTGATAGGAAGCGCTTAATTATGTTAACTTATATCAAGATATGACCACAATATTATGATCACGTGATTGTACATTCTTTTTTTTTCTTTCTTTCTTTAATCTAAAAATATCATACAATAATGTAAGCCGGTTATAACTGCACACTATATATTATCCAACACTATCGGAATTCTAGTAATGAAAGAGAGAAAGTAAATACTTCAAGATTTCTAAAATAAAGCAATAAAAAAAAAAAAAAAAAAAAAAGATAATGCTGCAAAATAATAAAAATTAGGAAATGCATTTTCATTTATCTGGTGATTCGAACTATGTCACGCGGTTTTAGTTAAAGAATCTCAAACGAAGTTTAACAGCGTAAAATTCATGAAAGTTAAATTCCGTTCTTAGATCAACTTGGGTACCTAAAACAGGCAGATATTTAAAAGAATATTATATTAAGAATATTTGCATGAAAGGTCGTATTTAGTTCGATGTGAAAGAAATGTGCTGCACAGCTTTTCAATTTTGGGTTGATTTTCATAATTAGAAATTATAATGGAAAAACGGAGTGAACAAAATGATCTGAAACTGTGCACACAAGTTATTGGTTTAGATCTTATTTGTTTAGATCATATGGAACACGTATCTCGACAAAGTATTTTCAGTCCCGTTATGTAAAAAAAAACCTCAGTGGAATTCTTTTAAATCGTTGAATGGTAAAATAGACAAAATATAAGGTTCAGCGACAATTATTACCGTTTGTTGAGCTTTCATTCCCTTTGAATTTTTCGTTAATAGTTTTTTTTATTTTATTTTCTAGTCTTCTTGCCTTGTCATTATTTGGAATACTCTGTCCATTACAAGAAAGCTGCAAATTCAGTGTAAGCTGCGAACAAATTAGTGTAAGTTTCATACTCAGAAAAAGCTACACGCTCGATGATGGCTTCATAGTCATTGTAAGGCAAATTGTAAGAGACTCATTTGATGTAAGCTGCACACTCGGTGTTAATTACACAATCGGTGCAAGCTACAAACTCAATGTTAGCTACACACTCGATGTAAAATACATAACACACCTTTTAAGTTATATACGCGGTGTAAGCTACACATACTGTGTAAGCTTCAAATAAATAAATAATTAAAATCACCTATGCGAAACATAAAAAAGAGTTTACGTTGTTTTACGACATACCTTGTTCAAAAGTGTGCCCTAGTATATAGCATTTCTTTTCATATATAAGAGTCTCATTATAGGCATCGTCATATTCTTCATCATGATCATGGTCACTTTCGGGATGCTCCTCCTCGTCATCTCCACATGCTTTATCAAGTAAAGCTAGGAAAAACAGCATGTAAATCACGTGCACGTATTTAGTCTTCATTTGTTTTACGTATCAACCAATCTAGAATTCTACCTCTTAATAAAAACAATGTTACCACCTTTTACAAAACAGCATTAATGTCAATATGTGACGCTTGTTTGTCACGTGTAAAGGGAAATTTTCTAACAGCGAGTATCAATTCGAAGAGCATTTCGCTTTTTTGATACAAAAGTTTTTCTGATGAACTGACTTCATGTAATAAAGTGATATTTGTATTTAATAATAAAACATAGGTCGCTGCCTTCTCCTTTTTGTCACCGAATGTTGTCATGTTTGCATGATCTGATTGAAGTTAATTGAAAGGAAATTCTGCTTGTGTTATAATAGGATAAATAGATAAGTTCAAAATTAATGGTCTGTTTAAAAAATCTGTTGATATCATATGCATATTTTCCAAAAGTGAAATAGAATGAGCAATACATACGCTTACACGTGACAAAGATAAATAAGCAGTGTATCGAGATTGTCTTTAAAAAGTTAAGTAAACGCTTATGTAAAAAGTCTAAAAGTCATGTCATAGCAAGGACCTTAATGACACGTAAACGTATGTCTAAAAGTTATATCTTGGTAAAAGCAACACATATGTAAGCATAAAGATGCACTAATAGTTTGTCTATGGGTATATCGTTTGTCATCTGAGCAAAGGTGCAGCTATTTATGTTTTAAGACAGTATGTCTTAATGTGTAACCATGACGAATGTAAGACTAACATATCTAGACCGACTAACAATATCTCTAAATTTGTAATCTTAATCAAGTTAAAACTAACATATATATAGGTCTACCTGATCGAGGTACGATCTGCTAACATTGTCCTTGATCAGGATAAAGCTGATATTATAAATTAAATGTATATCAGGGTAAGAGAGACATTTTATGAGAATAGATATTGAAATTTACAACAGAAAGACTTGCACATGTATGTTTCGAGACAATACATGCATTTTATAAGGTTTAATCAGGTTTAATCATGTCAAATGTAAGGTCTTTTCCATTAAGATCCTCTTCTAATTCGACTTACATCAAAATATATCAAATGGACAATTTCAAAACATGTCCTTACTGATTTGAGAACATTAATTAGACGGCATGAATGTGCCTGCATTGGCCACGAGGGTAAATTATTTTTGTCGACAGTAGTCTGGTAATGTTAATATAAGAGATGCAAGTTAAAATACAGGTTTTAATAACATTTGATGCAATCTTTTCATCAGACAATATTAATTATATTTCATGTCCAACCATCTGTGACTAGTCAAGATGTGTAAGATGTAGCAAATCAAAATATAGAATGTCACTATCTTTTGTTAAAACTTTAATTACACATCAGATAATGAAAGTAGTTACCTCGAGTTACCTTGATCGTGAATGCTTAATCATATTTATTGATATTTCTAATATTAAATGACAGTTTTTGTTTTGTTTTGCTTCTTTTTAAGGTTACAGCTTATATCATTATACGTCAAACTGATCTACAATTGTTAACCTCTTTGCTTCAAGGACTACCCAAACAGAGATTTATGTTTTTTCTCTCCACGAGTCTATTCCGTAATTCTTGACATCTTGGGGATGGATACTCACAAAGGTACCTATATGATATGATGTGACCGGATTAAATTTTATCATTCCTGTCCAGATGTATTTTATGAAAGTGTGGCAAAAAGGTTAGTAAGATTAAATCATCTATTGAAACATGTCATTCTTAGTGACCAACGCCAACTTTATCAGTTTCTTTATTATCGTCAAGTTTCTCTTATTTATACTTAATGTCGAGTTTCTCAATATATATTATTAATGTCGATTTTCTAAATATCATAGGCAACGCCAAGTTTCTCATTCAGATACTTAGTATTGAATATTAAATTGTAATAAAAAACTGTTATAGCCAAGGTTTTCGTATCAAATATTCATTTTTATCAGTTCATGTCAAGCTTCTGAGCGCCTTAAGTAATATCAAAATTCCAAATGGGATATTTATGCCATTTTTTCACATGACCTCCATAAATATCATAATTGCTCATTATGATAATTTCTCAGAGGCCTCGCACTACTATAACTTATGTCAACCTTCACATTATCAATATAAATGTCAAGTTTCATATTATCAATATAACCGCCTCCGTGGTCGAGGGGTTAGAGTCGATGACTTCTAATCCAGTTACCTCTCTGGCGATCCCCGGAAGATGCTTTGGTAGTTTAGCGCGGAGGAAGGTAGTCTAGTACTGGAGTAACTCTCCAGGAACGATGGTTAGGAAACTACCCACCTATATGACTGAAATACTGTTGGAAAAAGGCGTAAAATAAAACAAACAAACAAACAAACATTATCAATATAAATGTCAAGTTAAAATGTCACGTTTCATATAATCAATATAAATGTCAAGTTTCAGATTTTTAACACAATTGTCAAGTTTCACATCATCAATTTAAATGCCAAGTTTCACATTATCACAGTTAATATCAATTGATATTATCATAGTTAATGTCAAGAAAGTACATTAACCATTGGTTTATTTTGGAATATAAAGATGACATATATTGAAATATGATGCTGTTCTCTCGTCGGAACTAATATTTAATTGAGGTTATTTATGTAGATTAACAACCACAGCAACGGTATCATTTTCCCCTAAAGTAAGATTTCCAACCCAAACAAAACAAGAGGGTTGTAAATGATGAGATCATACTTTTCTTATGTGGATTTAAGTTTTCTTAGATGAATTAAATTAGAATAGATACATGTGCCACTTACGTCTATAATGTTGTACAACTCTTTGTTGATGTCGGCTAAATCTCTGCATGAAAACGCTGCCTAGCTTTCAGAGACGTCATAACCAAGTCTTTTACACCGAGTCCTGATCGATTTTTTAAACTAGTGTTTAGTTATTATGCCTTGAAATTTCTTTAAAAAGTTCTCTAAATTTACACAATTTAAGCAATTTTCACTCAAAAACTAAAACCAAAAGTTGTCCCGTTTTGATGTATTATAAATGTATTATGCTGTTGTGGTAACTGATGTATTTGTTCTAATAATATATATGTTCACTTTACAATTTGATATTTCGTGTACTCAGAATATATCTGGATGGAAAAGGTTTGTATTTAAATCTTTTTTTGTACAAAGCGTAGTTGGTAACACTCATGCGAGAGGTAAAACAGACAGGGGAAGCTACTACTAGCAGCTGATCGCCGCTTTACATCCTTGTTTTGATTTCATAAGTGGAACTTTACGGGTTGAGGCATCAGAATTGCAAGCATCGTTTATCCCTATGTGATCGTTCGTGGTTTTGACCCTTGGTGTTGCCTTTATCATTTTAGTGATTTAACTGTCCGTGCCCTGTCCTGTTTTTGTTTGAGGTCCGCCTGGGCTCCTTGCCACTGGTTCTTGTTGCTGGGTCGTATTGGGGTTGCGTTCACTGAACGCCGCCTTTTCTTGTTGATCTTGTTTATCATGTTTTAAGCAGGATTTTGATCTTAGTTTGATCCAATTGTTTTGTATTTGTTTTGTATTTGTCGAATTTATCCAAAAAAAGGGTTGTTTCTTTGAAAATCAGCAATGATTTATATTTTATTTATGTACAGTTAATTTTAGCAAAATGCGATCATTTCTAGTTATTAAAACAATTTAAAAAATTGAAAAAAAAATCATTTAGCTATAAATTGAGCGATACAGGTGCTAAAGGTGTGACACTGAAGTACAATGTGCATTCGCGTTAAAGCCCAATGTGACCAGCCCCTTGTCGCACTTACCAGAATTTTGGGGACCGACTACGGTATATATTTCAATTCATTATAACTTATGTAATGTATAACTCTGTTATCAATCAAGAGACTATTCATTTACAAAATGTTTAACTTTTCAAACTTATTTGAAGCACGTGTCTGAATAGACAAAGGAAATAGTATCGGCAAAACCGATAGCATCCTTGAGTATAGATATTTTTTATTTTAATTATCCAATCCGACGAGTTTCATAACAGCTTCTACTAGCAAATCTTTTGATAACATGGTTTACGAAAATTATAGATTAGGAAAACATGTTCTTATAATGATAAATCACAGAAAAAATGAGAATGCATAGATTTATTTTTGATATTATAATTTAATACATATTGTTTCGATTTTGATGTAACATAACGCTTTTATACACAAGTTATTGTTGTCAGTTAGGTGTTATCATCCGACTACCTTCACACAGTATTTTATTGCTTTGGAATAATTAGGGTATCTAATATAAGCATTAATATATTCATCATAAATATAAATATCCCTCTGAAAATCCACTTAAGTTAACAGTCAAATCAGTTTGATAACAGAATAAAAGAAACATCCTGAAATTGCCGAAAGACAAAGAGAATCGCGTAAAATTCCGGAAGATATAAAGAAGCATCTGGTGCATGTCCGAACGAATAAATAAAATATCTAGAAATAACAGAATAATGTTAGGAAAAATAGAATTTCAAAAATGGTAATATTTTCCACGACGCAAAAGCGAGTGTTTTTTTCTCTATAGATCCTATTGAGGCTGCATGTATTTCATGGGGTTCGTCAAAATCTCAGAGCCCTTGTATTTATCAAGGCATTTCCCATACCAAAGGTGTCTAAATCTTTTTCCAAACATTTCTTGAATATTTGCACAAAACGCTCTGGTGTAGAAATGTTGTGTATTACATGTACATATCTTATTTTTAATTCGAACAACCTTTCCTGCAGGTATGACCACCTGCCCCCTACGACATGTATAATCTGAAAAAAAAAATGTTATTTTAGTTCTTTTACATGTTTCACACATTATACTAAAAATACATCCTTATTGAAATATTGCAACAGATAGGTTAAACAATTAAACGTTCACGTATGCCTAAATTGTCATTTTCCACGTCAAATATAAAACCGGATATGCAAGTCAGATCATAAGTATGCTTTCAATTGCAAAATTCTAGCCAATGATTACCGTAAAGTTATGAGTTAGGCAGAATATAGAGGACTTCTGCTGAATCCATTATAGGAGGTAATTTCTATTCATTTCAGCATTAAATGTATAAAGTATGAAAGTAAACCGTAACGTTATCTATTTGTGACATGCCATATTTGTTTCGCAGGGCGCCAGACGAAACCACAAAAAGACCAGTTTGCAGTACGTTAGCTCCATGCAGTGCGCCAGGCGAAAATCTGAAATTTAGACAAAGTCATCACTGTATCTTTATTTCATGCTTTCGTCTCAGGCTCCGCTCGCCAGACAAAATCACGGAAAACGAGTGTACAAGGGCATTTTGTCGTGCTTTTACTCCACAGGGAACCACGCGAAAACACGACAATACATGTGTATGATCACTTCATATAAGTGGCGTTCGGCGGGAGCGAAAATACGACATGGCACAGATCATTCGCCATAATACTACTTTTCTTCACTTTAGCTAAAGAAATCCAATTCGGGGTAAATTATATACTGCATTTTGATTGGATACCAAGGTCACAGCAAAACGGATACTTGACCACTTCCGCTCTGACATACGTAACATAACGAATTTAAAGGAGTACATATGAGCCGCGCCATGACAAAGCCAACATAGTGTGTTTGTGACCAGCATGGATCCAGACCAGCCAGACCAGGATCCATGCTGTCCGCTTACAAACCCTATTACAAGTAGAGAAACTGATAGCGAACATCATGGATCCTGGTCAGACTGCGCGAATGCGCAGGCTGGTCTGGGTCAATGCTGGTCGCAAACACAATATTTTGATTTTGTCGTGACGCAGCTCATATATGGTTACTCACCCCCAGTAGGACAAACCCACGTGCAGTTGGTTGAGCTCGCATATGTTGGGTTAACACATTTTAGTGATTCAGGGGGACACGGTGGGCGATCACACACAACCTTTCCATTAGCGAGGCACTCGCAATTGTCACACTTATGACCAACTGGACCTGTAGAAATTATCAAAATGGTGTAAAAGATGATTTCTTATCTTAATGGCATTGTTTATTAGTGATACAGATGGAAAAAGGTAATTGTTAATTGATCACGCGCGCATGGACTAACTTACACATGCACATCTTTTATTTATTTATCTATTTATGCATTTTATATTTATGCATTTATTTATGCATTTATTTATTCATTTATTTATTTATTTTTACATTTCGGGCGTCCACATTTCGGGCGTCCAGTTGACATTTGCATCTCAATGACATGGTAGGAGTCGAGCAATAATCGCCTTTCAGTCATACAATGATAACGTATGGAATAATCAATGTAATAATCAATGTTAACGCAAATTTCTACGGTTAAATAAATTTCAGGTTTTAAACACAAGTTGTATCATAGTTTGGGGATCTTTCTGTTGAAAATGTGTCAGAGTTAAATCGTATACATATAAATGCACAGTGCGTTATCTGGAGTCCAGGTATTAGTTACTCGCACTCCAGAGCATGCCCTGTAACACCGCACTTTGGGGTCAAACGCACTATGGGGTTCGACCCCAAAGTGCGGTAAACTTCGCACCGCACTTTGGGGTCCAACGCACCTTGGGGTCAAAATCGAGAAATTGACCCAAAGTGCGTTAATATGCTACATATCAACGCACTTTGGGTTCAAGAGGTCTAAAGGTGTCATCTGAGTTCTGCTTAAATACTGAGTACTGACTTATTTTCAATCTGCGACATTGGAATATTTGAGGTGGTGTTCAAGATGGCGGTCAATACTTTATGATGCTTAAGTGATAAAAGTTTCATTAATTTTACCACTTGAAATATCTAAAAATTGTGTTCATATATAAGAAAATTACGGTGGCACAAAAGTGACATTTGCAATTTTTTGTTATAAGTTTTGTATACATATTTTATTTTAGTTTCGCATACATATTTTTTTCAGTTTTGCATACATATTTTTTTAGTTTTGCATTCATATTTTATTTTTGTTTTTCGTACATATTTTATTTTTGTTTTCCATACATATTTAAGCCCATCAAAACAGCCTTCAAATCTCATAACAGTCCATAGATTAGTTGAGTATAAAACTAGCACAGTGGTTTGGTCACATTTCTGCCCATTTTTGAAATCGGCCAATCGTTTTCCGGGGGTGGGGGAGTCTGGTTTCGGCCGACCTTTTTCGGCCCACTTTTTCATATTATAACTATTTTATATAATATTGTTTATTATCATTATATACTTTTATATAAGTGTCTATTTGGAAAGGGCTGTTGATTGGTGATCAGTTATTATTCCATGAATATGCACCACTCAACTCCACCCCCTGAGAATTGAGAATTATGAAACTTAGGTCAATTCTTTAGCACATCCAGATAATGTGCAGAACATATATGCCAGGTGTGCCCGGCTCAAGGTCGGGGTCACACCAACAGGTCAAAGGGTAAAGACTTGGGTTTCATGTCCGCTCCTTATCTCCAAAACCCCTTAAGGATTTTAAGGCACCTTGTGACAAATGTTAACCACATCGAGACCATATGCAGTACCTTTCTTTGGGTTACCGCGGACTATATAATATATTTTATAACTAAAAAAGAATATGTATGCAAAATTTAAATAAAATATGTATGCAAACTGAAAAAGAATACATTTGCAAAACGAAAAAAAGTATGTATTCAAAACCAAAAAAAAAAATATGTACGACAAACAAACAAAAATTTGTACGAAAAAAAAAACAACAACAACAACAAAAAAAAAAAAGTATCAAAAAAAAAAAAAAAAATACAAATACACTTATATGCCACCGTTCAAAATACTCCAGTACAGAAATTGTGTATTTCTAGAATTAAAAGATGCTGCGAAAAATATCGCGTTCTGTCGGTCATTTACTTGATAACTTTGGGTGCCATATTGAGCCCTATTTTAAATATGTTGGGAATGAAATTAAATGCAGTTAGTATTTTTTTTCCCAAAGATCTATAAATATACTCTATTGCAATGTTCTGGTGAAACATTAAGTTTTTCGATCGGTCTATAAATAGTGATTTTTGCAAATACATTAATAAGCTTATCAACAAACTTAAGAGTTTTTGTAAGCTCCGTAACAACCGTTCGCCAGAGGTTTTTTATGGGAAATCTTACATACTTCTTTAGGAACAGCAAACATGAATTCTATTATGTTAAAACAATGGTATCAGAGAAATTTAAAGTAGCGATAAATGTGAAATTATTTGTCATAAAAGAAGTCAAAACACTGTAGTATTTGACTTCCATATAAAATACTAATTCACTATAACTGTACTCATCATTGCCAAAAAGCAACAGATCAAAAAGATGGTTCAGGTAATTGGCCAATGTGTATTTTTTGGATAATATAAAGGAACATCAAAAAGAAAAGGCTTTTAAGAAAAACAAATAAAAGCATAATGGGCCTTTAAACGGTATTTTTAACCCTCGGGGGGATCGATACCCCACAATCCCCTTTATACACCAAGTGAGAATTTTACATTATTCTGAAGCTCCACTCTTAATGTGCGTCTACTTACATAGTTGATATTTTTAGTACTGCCTGGACGGACTACTACTTAAAGCCGCAATAGGGCTCGTATACCTTGTCAAGTTTCTTATATGTCACATTTAGCTGAATTAATGGCTCTTTCAACATATTATCAGGCACATTTTTTACTGAAATGTCTTACTAAGATTTCCCAGAATTTATACCTTTGTCTATGCTAAGACTATCATATTTCTATAAAATGTGGAAACAAACGGGAAAATAATGCATTTAGCTAAAAACAATGGAGTTAATGAAAGGTGTGCATTCTTTTAAAATAAATGGAAAATTTGAGAAAAAATATTTAAAAATTTGATACAAATTCTTTATCTAGTGATTTATTTTGTGAAAGTTCTTCACATACTGATCAAGATCATTTAAATCCCTATTGATTCTACTATAATTCAGGTCACATGTTTGTGTCTATTTAATACCTTGATTTTTGTTTACCATTGGCTTTGACTACAATATATTATTTAAAACATATTGAACATTAATTTTCTATGACCCCAAAGTGCAGTCGTTTGCCTGATGTTAAAAAATGCATATGTACCTGTTTAACGCATTTGGGTCGAAATTGAACCCCAAAGTGCGTAACGCACTCTGGGGTCGGACCCCAAAGTACGTAACGCACTTTGGGGTCAGACCCCAAAGTGCGTTTGACCCCAAAGTGCGGTGTTACAATGCCCATTGATTGTTTCATTTTTGCCGGGGTTTACTTATTGCGACGGAAAAGAAAAGGAAAGCGACAGAAATATCATACCAGATGCACGTTCATTGGTTACTTTTTCCCGGGGTTTCATATTCTGACAACAGGGAACGTGTATTTATGTTTGACTATGATACACAAGAGGAAGAACATCAAAACACTCGGCAATCTGATTAATTCTCGGGGGCTACGCCCCTCGTACAATCAGATAGCCTCGTGCTTCGATGCTCTTTCTATTACATATATTCAAGAAATGACATCTTAGATACTTTGATGTTGATAAGCATTGTTAACATCATAAAATATATAGTGAGAAGTGAACTAAAAATGTAAAACATAACTAGATACTGATTTACATGTGTAAAAGATTTCTAGCTGGTACATTGACTTGTCCGAGAGTGAAAGGTGACAAGGTTGATAAGCATTTATAACTCTTATATGCAAAAGTGTAAATTGGATTACGTCCCTTCCATTAGAATATGGATAGTGATGCGAAATATTTGAGAAAATCTATCACAGTATTGCCCATTTTCCTACATAATATATACCTGTGATATATACATACACAACATTTGCCGTCTGATAAATTCATTAAAGACAGTTTGCGTTCCGTTAAAATGATATTGTGAAATGAATTATAAACTTATCTAATTTCCATATCTAATTTCCATGGTATCTCAATATTAAGTATATTCTCCCATTTGCTTTCAACTTTGAGTTTGCCCGTCTCATTATTCCAGAATTGACTATTTGTCAACAAGTTAGTGCAAAGAGCAGGTCTTATTTTTATAGCCACTGTCTTATAAAGCATTTACATATAGTGTAACTTCTCTGTCATGTTTTTTTAACTATTATTTTATTGTTTCTTTGTTTTATTGTTTGTTTGTTCACTCTTATGCCCTTAAAGGTCATAAGGATTTGTTTATGAATAAAAAGGTCAATAAAAATATATGTAGCTATGCTTGATTTAAGAAATCGGCAATCCAGATTCATGTGTATTTAAACTTCCTTAAAAGCATATCTGTACTTACAAAAAATTGTTGTTTCAAAGGGCCAGATATTTTTTAAATACAATATATTTATTTCTATGTAAGAACCGGAATATAGCGGTTATTTCCGGAAAAAATATGTGAGTATTACCAAAAACGAATGCATGTATATTAAATATACTTTATTTTGTGATATATATTCTGTCTTGAATTTTGCTTTATACTGAGCCCAATTTTCGAAAGGTTTTTATGAAAAGTACATGTACTTATTTTCAATTTTAAAGGGAAATTTAGAAAATATAAACATGTAAAGAAAAAAAAATAGTCTGCCTCATTTGTATCATATTTCTGTAAAACACCTCCGAGTATCTTTTTCCCGTGTTTACTAAATCATTATTTACATAGTTTACATTGTGTAAATTAGATTGTTAAGTTGTTTTGAAATTTAATTCATTAAAATTTAAACATAAAATTCTTTTTCTTTCAGTTATTGACATAGATGAGTCAAAGAAAGAGTTACTCTAGCCGCATTCCCTGGGAAAAGTAAAAATGGATAATGCGGGATTTATCGTTGTGTCTCTTAACTATCGGGCTAATGCGATTTGTTTTATCACCAGAATGACTGGGGATATATTCGAATTGCACTTGGGATTCAATCATCCGATGGTCTCCGCAGGATATGACCTTAACACGGGGTATGAAAATCTTTAATTCAAAAGACCCCTTTATTTAGACAAAAGTTACAATATATAAAAAAAGGTTGGCCCTTTGGCTGATAGCGACAAAACATTTAATCTATGCGTTCCGTGACGTCTGATCACGGGCTCCACTATTTGCCATTCAATCAGTACATATTGATAAATAATATAGTAAAATATGAAAGATTGACTAGTCCATTAAAAATAAACCGACCTAAAGGGCTATTATGCATTGATAACATTATACAATTTAATGATGTCGTCAAACTTTATATAATGATTAAACATTACCTTGTGGCACAACAACGCCATTGTATTTACAGCCACATGATTTACAGCATGAGTCCGCTTTGTAGACCTGGTAGGTACACGTAAGCTCTGGGCATTCTTCATCACACTCTTCACAGCACTGCTTGCAGCAACCATCTTCTGAATATCTAGTTTGTTTCAGTATACCACACGAGGCTTCCGGACACTTTCTCGGTGTACACGTGAATATTCCATCAGCACAGCATTCGCATAAATAGCAAGGGTTATGCGGATGTTGAAAAATTTCCCCTGAAGTAAAGTATAAAGAGTCGAATGACGTCATGCATTTGTCTCCCAATTTTAAAAGAAAAACAAAATGTTATAATTTCTGAATTTTAAGCCTTTGAAAAGACTTTAAAAATATAATAAATGTACAGACGTGTGTTTTATAATGTGGTTATTATGAAATTTAGATAATGTAAGAAACTTGTCGCATGAAGAACATACAGGTCTGACTGTGAACTATTAAAGTAGATAAAAGTAAACAAAATGATATTTTGACTTTGAGACAAACTACCTTATTGCTATACATGTACGCATAAAAAGCAAATTCAAATTCAAATTTTATTTGTCTCCGTGCATCATATATGATATACCTGTAAAAACAGTTATAATTTATAAAAAAAAGAAAAGAATTTCCTAGGAACAATCACAATGCATAAAAAAGATTATCCCACCTATTTTTTTTAAACTTAAAAAATGAAAAAAACAAACAAAACATATCATAGCATTTAAAAGCTTATTGGCCCTTAATTTTGAACCGTAACTGTTTTTTACTTGACTTGAGCATTATTTTTTATCAAGAAATGTCTTACTTTAATTAATGGGCATAAAATTTTATATCTATAGCAAGGAGAATCTATCATCTTCTATTTCCTTGAGTTGAGGTCTCCGAAAGGTAACAGTAAACATACCTTCTTGATATTTTTGAAACGCACCCGTCACATAACACGTCCCATTTACCGCTGCCGCAACATCAAACTTTATAACAACGCAAAGACCGAACAATAACAAACTATACAATCCCGTCATATCTCTAACTCAAATCTGATTTACCCCCAAACAATGGGCTGTATTATTTTACTCCTTAACAAATCCTTATAACTGTATATTTATATATATAATTGTAATGTTTCAAGTCATTAAAAACTGTAAAATGTTTAAAGTTATGAACATTTCATTTCAAAACCTGTTATAAATTCGTTATACTGATATCGTCGTCGATCTCATTATTTATGTTTCATCATTAAGCAAAGCGTCCAGTAATCTTGAATTTCCAGAATTGTTACTGAATGTGAGTATATATATATATATTATTCTTTCTAATCATTTGGTGCAATCGTAAAAGTGACGGTATTGTAACGATTTAAACAGCTAAAAAGAGCGATAATGTCTTATCAGATAGACACGGCAATTGAATAAAGGGTTACTTACGCTATTGAGGACAGTTTATGCTGTGAATGCCAATGTTAGTGTTTGAAGCTATTTTTTGTCCAATAGGATTGCAAGATTTCAAATGAATCATAACACATTAACTTTGGTAAATCGGCAAACTGTAAATCAGTCTAGTAAACTGACTATCTATAAAATAAATTAAAACACAAAACCAGCTTAGTGTTTTAAATTATTTATAAGTACGTATTTACAAAATTAAATTGGTCTCGCGGCTGCGTTGTTATTCTGCAAACGCTGACAAGTAACATTTTTACTCATGTGACGTCAGATATACCTCCTGTCATCGAACATACAAAAGTGGAATCCTATGAACCTATAAGAACACATCTCAAGCAAAGTCTCCATCTCATTTTTAACCATTCTGAACACCTCGCCTCGGTCGACTTTAAGAAGAACTCATACGTAATTATTTGTGAAAGTTGGGGAAACAAGACTGTTTCGAACCTTCTATCAAGAAAGTCTGTCCTTACTTTTGTACGACAAGTGATTATGTTTGTTAAGGTACACCCGTATGGCTTGCTGTTGTGGCTTTTAACAGGTTGAAAAGTACAATAGTTTCAAGAGACAAAATATCAGTTATAATTCGATAAAAGCTTGATAAAAAGTGTGGTGACACTTTTATAATCTCTAAATATCCAGGAAGCAAAATTTTTAATTACAGTAAAAGGAGCTCTACTCACCTCTAAATGCCAAAAACATAAAAAAATCTTACATTAACCAAAGGTGGACCTAAATTTGAAAAATATGCAAAAAAAAAATAAAGAAATATACTAAAATATGATTAACAAGAACAATAAGGAAAGACGGCGTTCAATGAACCCAAATAAGACTAAATTTAAAATCGCGAAGGATGTGACACATTCGTCAGATAGACAAGCCAGCTACTAAAACTTGGGCATTTAGATGACGAGATCTAGCCAGCCACCAAAGTTTGGGAGTAACCACGTGACATCCCCGACGACTTCGGCCAGAAAGTTACAGATAACTGTGTGTATAAAATTGCAGTTAACCTCGTGATTCCCCCAGGGACCGTCAGCCATCCATCAATAACTGAGCGTTTATATATAAAAACCTTCAAAAACAAATTGCCAGAATTAAAATTGACAAGTGACGTTACTTTTGAAGCTAAACTTAAGCATCTGTGACAAAATGTGGTTTCCACATGAACAATTGTAAATTGCTTAATCGTTTCGATTCTGTTTTTGTTTTCTCTTTAATGGTCGCTTATTCTCCGCAAAATATTGATTCATTTTTGTTTTATTATTCAAAATATCAATATAAAAAATTCCTGTGAAAAGTTGGATTTATATCAATGTTTGGTATCAATCCAACATTCAGAAATATATAATCGAGCATTTCATTTACGTTAGCTAAAATCGTTTGAGAATAGTTAGGTTAATTTGATTCGTTCCAAATGATTGTATGCTAAAGTATCTTTGACAAAATTGTTTTTCAAGTTCTTTTACCCTTGCATTTAATTTAGTGAAATGCAGACTGGAAATAAATGTTCCGTGTAAGTAATGCTTGGCGATTATTTGACTCACTCTTTGGACATTCCCAGTGAGCACTACTTCCTCCATGGACATAGCTTACCTTTATGAACAATTTTCGTTGCCGTCAACATTTCTCATCGAGAACTTCTACCTACATAAACATTTCTCACTAAATACTATGAAATATATGAACATTTCTTACTGAGAACTACTCGCTCCCTGGGCACATCTCACTCAGCACTACTATTCATACATAAACATTCTTCGCTGAAAAGGAAAAAAAGGACCCGTCTGTTATCCATCAACAACTGAGCGCTTATATAAAAGATAATCTTGTCTGCAATAAATAATTACAGAATGTTTGTATTTGAGTGACTTCTCTGTTAATCTCATTGAGCACTACTAACTACATGAACATTTTTCACCGATCACTACTCATTTACAATTTTCATTAAGCACTACTAAAATCATGAAGATTTATTAATGGACACTTCCCAGAATTAAAGTAAAAACAGTTTTGTTACTGGCCCAAAATATAGGAGACGTATTGCGTAGGTATTGCACTTAACCCGCAGGTAGATAATTTATAATTTCAAAAGTCATGTTATTTGCAAGCGTTGAAGGGAGTCAACATTTAACAATTGCCTAATTCATGACAAAATGTGACTGTAAATACGAAATAGTGTGTATAAGTTTATGACCATACTAATAAAATCAAAGCAGACGATTCCAATAAGGTCTTGGCGTACTATGTTCTAACTAAGGCATATATAAAGTTCTTATAAAAAGTTAAGGAACTCTTCTATTATTTTTTACACAAAAGAAATAAGTATTAATTGATCGCACTCCAGTTACGGCAACGTCTGCCAGGGATGAAAAAAATGCATCACAGCATGCTAATTAATTGACTCATTTTTTCTTAGGTTAAATTACTGTGAGGTAACGATAGAACTAATAAAATAGTTTAATTCAGATGCTATTCGTTAATTTTTTCTCGGGTTTCATAATGTGACGACAGGGAAAGTATTTTTCTTTTTGCCTATGAAATAAATGTGAAAGACATCAAATCACTCGGCAATCTGACTTTAACTCGGGGTGTAGTTCCTTCGCACAAATCAGATAACATAGTGTTTACTCAATGACTGTACATTTCTTGGCTCTTAAAATATGTTTGACTACCTCAAACAATTTGTATAGAATAGAAAGGCCTTTTTTATAAATATGAATAACAGCATGCACATGATATTACGTGCATATAAATTGTAACTTACTTTGTTCAATGATATTTTTCTCTTAATATCAAACGTCAGTATACATGTATAGCTGAATCACCAACACATGTTGTGAAAACAAATGATGTTGCTTTTCGCTTCAAAATACAAAGAAAAACAAATGGTAACACTTTGTTATCCATTGATATTTCGAATCATACATGTATCATATGTTTACATTAGACATGAAAGATATATAATATGCCCATTTCAATAACAAAATTACAGTACTATAAATTGATGCAACTTGTATAGCCATCTTTTAACACCTTTTACTTTGCTGCAATTGAAAATGATTTACCATTGCCACCATTATATATAGAAACAAACAAGCTTACATTAGCCTGGGATTCAGGCGTTGATATTTTTTTTGCTTATTCATTACTTACGCGCTATTTCATACTCGATCGACATAGATAACACCACATCGTGTCGATTTTCTGAACAGAAGCACATAAAAAATCGACAGACTGGAACCGAGGCTAAGCTTACATGACAGTACAGTGTGACCATACATTATACCAATTTCAAATTTTCATATTGTTTGATAAAGGACAGTTTTAAAAATGAATCGAATAACTATGGTAGAAGTATTTATTTTCATTTATTTTGATAAATAAATTGTTTGTACTTCTTAATGTCATTTTAAATCAACAAAAGAAAAAAACAAAAATAAACATATAATGAAATTAAGTTCAAAAGATATGTTTTTAGGATAAACATATACATGTACACTATAACAACATGGAACATTCATGGCCACATGTAACAGCTTGACTGATAAACACCTGAAGCACGCAACATTTGACGTCAATATAGAGGAAACATGTTGTAATGTTTTTGTTTTTTAATGTAAAAACATTTTCATACTAAAACATGTTGTTTAATGATAAGTGTATTCAATAAAACTTAAAATTCCATATTTCCTAATTAGCTTTCGCTCAAACGGAAATAAATCATTTATCCGGTAATCTACAGAAACTAAGAAAATAAAACACATATGAAGCATCATGTTTAAATTTTAATATTTGACAAGTGTCTGCTTTGATTTTTCTCCTGATAAAGATTTCTATTTAAATCTATTAGTTTTGAAGTCCATTTATTATAAGACAAAGCATAAACTGGTCGTGTTATAATTAATAAATTTCAGATTTGACATGAATTTCTACTGATCTGTTTTAATCTATGCATATGTTAAGTAGTTGATAAAAGAAGGCAAATCATGTTTTTTTTTCACTTTCACTTCACTACATGTGGAATAAACCGAATACCATCTTTTCTGAAAGAAAACATATATAGTTACAGACTGATCTTATGGGACAGACCAAGCGACGATTCTAGACCAAGCTTAATGATATCAAGTTTCGAACTGTCCTCACTAGTTGAGAAAAGGACCCACGCCTGCGTCAACACTTTGATTGGAACCTTCCCATTTACCTGTTTTTCTCCTCTAAATATTGCTTTCACTTGGTCGATATATTCATAAGTCCCAGATGTTGCAGCAAACACAAATTCATCCTCAGTCAGAAAACATTTTCCGTTAATATCATAAATAGAATAGATAACGTCACCACACTTTTGCATTTTCTCTCCAAACGCCTTTTGATTGGCTTGGAAATCTTTGCTGTTCATGTCAACAAACTCTTGTTCCGTTATAGCACTTCGTTTTCCTCGAAAGATGTAATCTTTATACATCAATTTCAGGTTTTGTTGCAACTTCTTCTTCTGTTTCAGATCGAAAAGATGACTTTCAGCAAACCTTTCCCTAAATAATAAAAGAGGTTTGATATTTAAAAGAGAGTCCAAAATTAAATATACATTGTATGAGTATTTTCAAAAGATATATATTGAAGGCTCATCTGTCTATATTTGATGTTTTATACATTGAATTTATTATATGCATTCTTATCAGCTATACCTAGTAACACTCAGTGTGTATACATTGAAACAAGATATAGTCTTTTCAAAATTATTACTAAAGACTGTTAAATAAAAGTGTACACAGCTCAATTTTCAATAAATTAGGCATTAATCAAAACATGTTCTGTCTTAAAAAATGTAAGCTCTTGTTCTGATTTAAACAGTATTCAGTATTCTCCAATTTTATAGTGATCTTTAGTTGATATGGTACCAAATATATACAAAACAATAACACTCAATACAACAAAAAAACAAGTCATACCGAAGATGAATCATTTTTATTGTTACAGAAATAAAGTAATAAAGAGCTGTCACACAAGTGAAGAATGCCCCCGAAAAGGTTTCTTAAGCATGCAGGTATTATGAAAAGAAAAAAGAATGAAAGTAACTAATTTCTTAATATTGTTCTTTGTATTTTTGTACCAATAATCTCTGTTATAGCATGAACATTCAAACTTTAAGTGTGACCTTGACCTTTGAAGAAGGGACGTGGTTTTTAGACGCGACAGAATGTTGTCATGAGATAGACATTTGTGCCAAATTATTTTAAAATCCCTCAATACATGACAAAGTTACAGTCTGGACATGATTGTAAGTTGGGACACACGGACGGACAGACGGACATGAGCCTTAGCCGCGACACATTGTTTTGGTGTGGTAGATATTTGTTCCCAGATATTTTAAAATCCTTCCATTCATGACAAAGTTACAGTCCGGACATGAATGTGTATCTTCGACAATGAGTACCTTTAAACTATAAGTGTGACCTTGACCTTGAAGGTAGGAACATGAGTGGTAGTCGCAACATGTTGTCTTGATGTGGTAGAAATGTATGCCTAGTTATTAAAAAAAATTCTTCGATGCATGACAAAGACAAATGTATAGTTCGGACACGAATGTGTGTACCTATAGACTCTAATTGGGATAAAGTGAACTTCAAAGAGGTAGTGTGACCTTGACCTTTGAGGTAGGGCGTGATTTTTGGACGCTACATATCGTCTTGATGTGGTAGACATTTATGCCAAGTTCTAAAAATTCTTCCATGCATGACAAAGTTACAGTCCGGACACAAATGTGTGTACCTAACTCTTATTGTGATGAAGTGAAACTTCAACATGTTAATGTGACCTTGACCTTTGATGTAGGGACGTAATTTTGAAACGCGACACATTGTCTTGATGTGGTATACATTTGTGTTATTTAAAAATCCCTTAATGTATGACAAAGTTACACGAATGACGTGGGGACGCACAGATGGACGGACAGACAGACATACTATTTGTATGCCCCCTTCGGGGGCATACAAATAGTAATAATTTATATAGTCTGAGTGAACACATTCTTTATGTCTTGACAGTACCAGCAGGATGACTTCAAGTGGCTTAAAGTTATCTTCGCCTGATTTACTGTCTGACTGTAGACTTCAGTGGTAGATCTATTATATGCCGAGGAGCTGAGCAAAAGTAGACTACCAAATGAAACTGAAGGACAGGGGTGTTACAATGAATAGGAAATATTTCAAGGAATCTGCAAAGATAATCTTAAAGGGATAGCAAGAAAGGCTTTGTTATTAGAAAATTAATTTTACCCTTCTTCTAACTTGTCTTCCAGGTGTATTTTACCATCTTGTCTCACATCCACTGCCTGGAACCACAGCCGCCATTTGTATTGCAAATATTCGTTTGCCATAAAACTACAAATCTAAAAAGAAACATATAACATCAATGATTTTTAAAGTTGAAAAACAATATGTAACATATTTTACCATTTAACTGCTCAATTTGTTATAAGTGTTTTCCCTGCTTTTAATTTTGAACGGCCAAATTATTATTTTTGCATGTTTCTTACATGTGCATATGAATTGTATTTGATTATATATCAAGCCCGGTGCAAAAACAAAAACAAACAAAAACAACAACAAAAAAAAAACTCAACTATAAGTCATTTGATAAAAATGTATTTTGAGTATAATTTCTCCATAGCTATATTTATTCTTAGTGTTGTCCAGTAGGATTGCAGTTGTGATCAAAGTGATAAACCAAACTAAGTGCATGCAATTATATATATGTACATTATTATATAATACAATTTTCAAACATAGAAAAATATGTAAAATATGTACTGCAATGTATTATATGAAATCACCTAAATATATGCATTCATTTCTTATTGTAAAATTTGACTTAAACTTTATAGAAAATAATTTTTTATTACCTCCCTTTATTTACATGAAATGTTAATTTCGGTATTATCTTTATAAATAATGCTTTTGGAACTAACAATATTGATAAATCTTAATTTGAGCATCATATTAATTATTCAAAACCATAAAAAATTGTGTTACAGGATCTTTAATTTGACTGTTCATAAAAGTAATTTGATTTAAAACACTTATAAACTTTAACCTATACATATTTGAATGACTGAATTAATAAACATATAAAATTATATATGAAGATAATTTACAATAATCAAATTTATCTATTCATTTACATAATATTAGCTCAGACGTGCACCTCAGATAACAGATAAAAATGGAAGCTCTACCTACTCGTTGAGTCATGTAACCCTTAATCTACAGAACCGAAGTGAGCAGACCGTACCAACAAAGAATCAGGTCAGTATTTACAAAGATTTATGAAAATTAACGGGAAATTTCAAATTTTTCACACACTAGGTCAGAAATTCACGAATAATTCATGAAGTCTATTTTCACGAAATTTAAGTGACGCAAAAAAATTCCCAATCTGCAGTAAGCTGATAAAGGAATCATGTAAACATGTGCGGTAATAATTTGATATGGAATTTGTCTTTCGGGCGATCTTTTAAAAGCCAAAGTCTTATAAGATAAATATTTTACTGTAAAGTAGTGTAATGTTAAATTTGTAAGACAATCAAAAACCCATATCTTTGTAAGACAAATGTAGGAGGGTAAGTGATTCATTCAACCAACCGGACCAACCCCTCTCTACCGACCCACTTTATAAAATCCCCTCCCCCATTCCATACGAATGGCTTTTATACAAATGTCATAAACAAAAGTTATTTATCATTGCCAAACATAACTAAAACAGTTACCTGTAACTTCCACACTGATTAAAATCCATCCGATAAAAGTCTCCCCGACACATTTAATGACCCTAGATAACATGACCCGAGAAAATGTTTACCTCATCGGACTTAAACATGTAAATAAATTTTCAATTGACAAATGAATATATATGGATTATCTACACTTATAGATTATCCTACGTGAAGTAAATTAAAACACATACAAGTTTAAACATGTTAAATACAAATAACAAAAATATAAAAAAATAAAAAACTCATAAAAAACAAAATTAATATTGTTCTGTATATGACTATCAATTATACAGCATTCATAGTCATAATTATAGTCCCTTATCTGATATTATAAGCAATAAAAAATAGGAGTGGCATTCTAGTGATGCTGATTACAAAACAAAGGGGGTGGGGGTTACATATGATAAATTATTTTACTTCAGTTTAAACATAATCAGAGACCAAAACTTATCATCAAGATTGTCTCCAAAATAAAAATAAGTAAATGAAAACCTTCCAAACAAATGCCAAATGTAAAGTTTTAATCAATACCTTCAATACTTTTTTTCAAATTATTGTTTGGGTAGATATTAAAAGTAATGTCGTCATTTGTTTCCTTTCACTATTTTTTTATAAATATGTGAAATTTAAATAGATAGTCTAGAAGTTAAACTCCTAACAAGCATTAACATTACATTTACCGAATCACAAAGGGAGGTAATTGAAAAAATTAACGTAGAAATATTATAGTTCTTGGACATTGCCCTTCCTCTCACTTATCATTTTTCTTGCGTGAAGTTTTTCTTCAATTACTTTGATTGCGTAAAATTTAAATCAAATTCCTTCCATACTTTTCAAGTTAGAGTATGACGTACGGACGAACTTACAAACCGACAAGACGCCGACTATTATGCTCTAGTCATAGTTGCGTCAGTCTTCTCTTAAGTAAATAAGGAATTTTAGCCTAAAAGTACCGACATATATCCACATGAATACAAATAAGAAATAGCTATCGCAACTTCTCGATACATTGAGCCTTTTGTCTGCTACATTACTAACTAAACATAAATTTTATGGTAGTCAGTCTTATACAGATGAAATATTTATGATATTTATGATTTATAAATACTGTTCCTACATGCATGTACATAGACAAAAAGTAAAGCTTTCGTGCAAACAGTTATCGATAATTAAATCTATTACAGAATAGATCCTAAAAAGTATTGAATTTTTACAGATATTGAGAAAATTAAAATATAATCGTTTTTAGAAAACATTACGATATTTTTTTACGATATTCGAACAAAAAAATATCCTAGATTTTTACTGATGCCTCTTAAATACTGTATTTTACATATCGTCGGTTGGGAGTCAAAAGGTCGTAACTCATTTCAAGAAATTTTACAGGAGACCACTTTTTTCTACTTGTTAGCTTACAGTAAAACATTTAGCCTTGTGTTTAAAGATAAACAATATTCACCAGATGCGCATATGAATAACGTATAATGTTTGCCTACCCGTATTATTCAAGGGCCATAACTATGAGATACGATGTTTTGTCAAATTCTAAGACCGAGTTACGACATTTTACACTTATACTTACATGTAATAAATGAATGTTTTGATTAATATGCTTGCTGTTTTGTTATTAATTATTCATGCCTTACTAAATAAAACTATTAAATATAGGTGAAATTCCAATTTTGAGGTTTTATGTCCGTTCTTAACAATCTTGCAGTCCTACAGGCGGGTAGATTCCAAACCAGCTTTCTTGGAAAGTACAAGTTCTAGAATCCCTTCAACACACAGTAATAAATGTTCTCAAAGAAAGATCCATGGTTGGTAGCTAGGCTCCAACCTATGACCCCCAGTCGGCGTGAGAAACTGCAGTGATTTCATGTGGGTGACCTTGATGCGGTTGTAGTACCAGAAAAACATATCATTTCAAGTTTTAATTGGTCAAAATTAAAGCCATCCGTATTACAGTATCAAAGTTTTATTCAAACTGAGCAACAAATAACCGAACATTTTGTTTTAGTACAGTAACACAGTTATAACACAATATGAACTGCACTAAAAAACAGTAAAAGAAACACTCCGTGCTATAAAGACTGTCCGCCTTAGAGTCATCCGTATTAAAGAATCAAAGTTTTATTCAAACTGATCAACAAATAGCCAAACATTTTGTTTTAATGCAGTAACACAATTATAACACAATATGAACTGTACTACAATACAGTAAAAGAAACACTCCGTGCTATGAAGATTCAGCCTTGGAGTCATCCGTATTACAGTATTAAAGTTCTATTCAAACTGATCAACAAATAACCGAAAATTTTGTTTTAATACAGTAACACAATTTTAACACAATATGAACTGTAATACAAAACAGTAAAAGAAACACTTTGTCTTATAACGACTGTCAGCCTTAAAGTCATACAAGATTAAGTTTTTCATTTTCAGCATTAATGATTTCTTGCAAATAAAAAAAAATCATATTCATTTAGAACATTATGATATGGCACAACATACTCACAACTAAACATAAAACATGTACTATAATAATAAAACTGGCCGGAATTCAGAACTTAAGGCTGCAACGATATGAATGTACTGAACATGGAGCAAACATACTATAATTATGTATACATCTGCAATCGCTCTTCAAAAATCCTTTCACAATTAATAGCTAAGGTTGTCGTAGAATCCATGAAAATCTCGAGGTATCACACTTTTGAGCTCTTGAAGATGTTCATACTTGGACGCCTTTATTTTCAGGGGACCGTCATGCAGCTGCGCTGGTTCATCGTGTAGGTAGGTGTAGTCAGTTTTTCGTGCCTTGCGGGGGAAATCTGTTAATTGGCCGTCGAATGAGAGCTTGTATTGTACAGTCCCATCTGGGTTGCAATGCAATACGCGCAGATCAGTTACCACTGGATCTCCTACTTTACTTCCTGGCCTTATTGACGAGTAATAAGATAGCTCAGAATACTTCCTGAAGAAACTATTATCTACATAATGAACTGTATAGGGCTGACTTGGTCTGGCAGAAGCTAATGAGTCAACATAGTTTTGGGGCACATAGATATTCTTGTTTTTAATTTTTCTCTCCACAACACTGTGCACCGCATCTACTTCTATTTGGGTGTGACCCTTTTCTAAATATTTTTGTGTTATTTCAATTCCAATTTTTTTAGATATGTGGCATAATGTATTTGTAAGTATACTGTTTCTATTCTGATATCCACAGCCATCGCTAAACACTATTACATGTTTAATGGCACTGTCCTTTAACACAGCAGATTCAATGTAACTAGCAACACAACTAGCAAATGAGTTTGCGGATAAATCACCTTCACCCTCATGCCAAAAAAAGCATGTAACTTCATTAGTTGCCAGATCGAAAATCGTGAAATTGTGACACGCCAGTTTAGTTTTGTAATATAACGCACTTGCATTAAGTCTTGGTGACAAAAGCACAGACTGCAGGTCCATGGTTATTACTCTAATAGAAGTATCGGATTGTGCTAGTTCTTTATCTCGATCTTTTTCTGCTCTTGCAGCAGTTTTTCTCTGTTGATGAGCCTCAAACTGCTCATCAGATATGGAACCAACCTGATGGCCACAACAAACATCACACTGATCCTTCTTCGGTTTATATAGTCCCAAATTCATTCGTGAAAATTTTTCCTCCACAAGGCGTCTACTGGCTATTTTGTCAACACATTGTCTTTTATATTCATTATACAAGGCACTAAACGTATCGAATACTGGCTCAAGATACCGCTTAGTACTATAGATGACCGGCAATAATGAGATTCCATTTTCGGCAGCGATAAGAGAAAGTTACGAACACTTTCTCTCAAAGCACTATGCCTTTCAGCTTGAGCTCGCTTGCGTCCCTCTGTAGGAATTAAAAAGACATGTAGAATATTAAAAATGAAATTATTTACAGCACAATTACAGTACAGAAACAGTATGTTCACAAATATCACTTTTTGCTCGTGTAAGTATTGTGCATTTCTTGATTAATTCTTATTAGAAGTATAATCAATGATGCAATATGAAGTATAATTATGTATGTCTGTGATATTGCTATTGATGTATCTTGATCCATATAATATTTTTGTGATATCTTGTGAATGTGATCGTGTGATTCTGGTGATATTTGTTTTTGATACTTTTCCTATGATAAATATGTTTTTACATTGATGTCTTTCTGTCTGTGATATTCTCCTGTCTGTGATATTACTTTATATAATTTACCTATATCATTTTAAGTGTTTTTAAACTATATAATATATTTATTGTAAATTAAATGTATGCATTATAAATTGAATATTTTTACAATAATTATTTATACCTGATGATGTCGATTTCTCAGGAATACCAGAAGTTGAGTTGTTTACCCATCCATAGACTGTTCTCTCGCCAATTCCAAGCGTCGATAGAAACATATTTTTGCAGACGCGCACCCTCTCGCCATCTACTAGTAGAAAATACCTAAAGCTCTGACTTCTTCTACTGTTTTCTACAGTTTTTACATTGACCGCTTCTGACCCTACAAGTGAGTTTACATAAACTTTTCTTCCATCCCACGTCATGTTTTTCCAAAAATTTGAGAATATGATTTTTCTGTTATTTTCTGTAATCTTAGCACATTGTTTAACGCCTGGTTTTTTACATCGCTTGGAACAATTGCTTTGTGTCAGAATGCGTTCTGGTTTTTCCTCCTGAAGACCCCATTTGCCGTCAACCTTTTTCAGACCTTTGTATTTTTCTCCTTCCATGCGGAGACGTTTTGCAGTTTTCCTTTTACATTCTGGTTTCTTCTTTGCTCGTTTCTGTGGTGCATTTACATCGGTTTCAACATTTGTATTGGTTTCAACAACTTCCTCGTGATCTATGACATCACTGTTATCAGAAGACGAATCACCCGAGTCCCGTTGCAGCTCATAGTCAGGGTCATATAACGTATCATCAAAATCATAGAATTTCTCCTCCTCCAATTCAGTGGCTATGAGCTCGCTAACATCTTGTAATTGAGAATCGGCATATTCAAAACTACTCAAAACACTTAAACCTTGATTAATCACTTTGCCAACATTTTCTACGTTTGCATCTTGAGCAGGTAATTGTCTACAATTTTCAGCTGAATCCTTACATTCTGCATCAATATTATTATTATCGGCTTTCAATTCACTCTTATCAGCAACATTTTCTACTTCAAAATCAGCAGGTAGTTGAGTACAGTCTTTGGAAGAATCTATGCATTCTGCATCATTTATTGTGTAGTCACTGAAATTGTTATTATCGTCAGTTAATTCACTTCTTTTAGATTGTTTCTGTAAGGATAACTGAAGTAATAGTTTACCTCTAGACAACGCCATCTTAAAAGTTTGTTGCACTTCTACCTGGCTCGCACTTAGGGCAATGGATGCCGTTTTCTCTCAAATCCTCAAAGTGAGACTGATTTAAGTGTTCGTCAGGAAATGTTGGGTGAATGCAATGTATATGATAGTATCTTGAACATTCTTCAAAGAGACATCTAACGTAGAACGTACCGTCTGGTAATGTAAGTAAAAATGGTCCTACATTAACAATTTGCTGAAGTAAAAATATTAAGCTATTGAAATCGGGTTTGTACTGACAAACGTGGCACTTGTAAGATTGAATATTCGTCTCTGATACTGATTCCGTGTCACTTTCACCGGAGTAAGACATCCCTGAAAAAGATAAATGTGCAATAGATATTATTTTGTCTTTTAAATTGTCTCAGAAATAATACATCAAATATCTATATAGCGACAAAAAGTCGTATCTCGATTTTAGCAAAAAAACAATAACAGTGCAAAATGTTGTATCTCATGTTTTGATTTTAAATTTCATTTTTATAGGTAAACGTCAATATACAAATGTGAATAGCAAGCATATTTAAAGACTTAGTATGGTGTGTTGTGAAATATTCCTTCAAAATGTCTGTGGTGAAATGAATGCATTTCAGAAATTGAAAAATATCCCACTCACATTAGCATCCCAAAGCCAGTAGCAATTAATTCATATTTATTTGCACATGACTGTGACATACGAAGAGCATTTAATGACTAAAGCACCTTAACACAGCTTATGTACTAATAACAGTTTAATATAATGATAAAAAGCATACCTTTCCATCCAAATGTTTGCGCTCTTCAGAAAATTTTGAGATACGATGTTTTGACCGGGAAAAAAATAGACCAATTGTAATACGACATTTCGTCATGTGCCTGTACTGAAAAAACTGATTGGCCTAGAGTTACAACAATTAAACATAAAATCGGGCATCACTTTACAAAACTATATAAATCAAAAGGTCATTTTCCAAAAATATCGGAGTTACGACCTTTTGACTCCCAACCGACGATATATATACCTATATAACAATATTATATAACAATTGAACCAAAAAGAGCCTAAAAGTAAACAAATACTAATCTCTCCTAGATAAAGTGAAATGTTTACAATAAATTGTGCTTCAATTTTGCATCTTAAAAAAAAATAAACATATTTTGAATACCAATATTAATGTTTAAGAACTCAAAATGCAATTCTTCTTTTTTTATCTTTTTTTTCTTTCTTTTTTTTGATGGGGGCAGGGGGGTCTTTTTTTAAATGATTTTGTTTGTTTATGTATGCATTACTTGTTATGCTGTGTATATTTTCAGGGAGGCATTTGTCAAACTTGCCCATCTAGAAGGCAAACGCAAAGATGAGGTCCTTGAGACGTCACATAGACTGTGGAATAATTTCATTTTCCGAGGGAAACCCGGACCAATTACTGAACAAGAATTCATTGATATGACGAACAATGAGTATAAAGAAGATAGGCGTAAGTTTACAGAGAAGGTCAGAAAAGATTGTACGGATGATGTGAGTTGTTTCGACTATAAGAAACAAGGCTTTGTTACCGAGGAAGAGTTTTTGACAGGGTGTAAGGCGGCTGGTATGGAGAATGAACAATGGAACAAGGATTTCTTCCGAATCTTCAACCCCGTTGAAGGGAAGATCGAAGTCAATGTCATGGTTGAAGCGTGGGTTAGGTTTCTTACGGAAGAGGACAGCTCTAAAAAGGATTTGATAATGGAATGTCTACAGACAGGAGATAACGCTTGATAGTCCATTGTCAGGTGGAATTAAAGACACTGTACAGACGACCATTTTGTAAAACAGACATGGTTTAGAAATATTTATAGTGTTGCAGATATTTGTAGAACTGCTGCTCAGTTAAATTATTCAATTAAATGAAAGCGTTCCATTCATTTATGTTTGTTCATTTATGTATTAATTCACATTTTTTCATGCTTATTGGCGAAAATTTGATAAGGTTTTCGTACTGATTAATAAGTTATTATTATATAATTCACAATTATTAAAGTTAATCCTTCGTTTCATGTTACCAAAATGATCAAATTAAGCTTTGGTTATTCTCTTGAACAGTTTAATACATGTATATCTTTTGCCCCATAACAAATAATAAAAGAAAAAAGAAACATAACTGCGTACAAACGAATCACTTGTTTTCTAAGAGTTAATTCCCTAGAAAATACAATTGGCCACTACTGAATAATGCCTCAGAAATGGACATTTATTTTTCTTCTTTATAAAATTAAACTCTTTTTTTATAAAAAAAAATAAAACATATTCCTAACGCTTTAGTGACTGGTTTAAAACATATAAGATGATTATAACCGGAAGTAAGTATGTGAAATAACTTGACAAAAAGAAGCAAAACGTAAACAAAGCATTATACTTGTACTTATTGTCAAAAATCCTAAGAAGCACAAGATGGTAAAGCTTTAATGAATAATTTAATGACATGTAAATTTTATAAACTGAAGCAGGACACAAAAATGAAAAAAAGAGCATTTGAAAAATGAAAAAAGTGCACGGGACCGTAGGGTGTATTTATGGGCTTTTTAATTACTATATTGATAGATCCTACTATGACCTTTTAATTTGAATGACAATAAATTAACCCAAAACATTGACATGAGCTTTTTTGTTGATGTAAATCAATCGACCAATCAAATAACCTGATTAAAATATCTACAGACCGGGTCGCCCATTATTAAAATCCATGAGTATGACTAGAATGGACTGGTATCAATATCATTAATTACGGAATAGATTTTTTTTCACTTTCGTATAAATTCCTTCAAGATCTTAAATAAAAGTTGTCCTCTGTGATTACGTGTATTATTAGAATTTGTTCTCATGTCTATGTATGTTACATACTGAGATATATTTAATAAACTTGAAAACTTGAAACAGATATGTTTTTGGTGAAATTCTTTATGTAATTCACTTCTCCGATAATTAGTATTACACAGGTAAAGGATCTTTGCATTGTTTTTCTTTTGAATTCCCATTCCTGTTAGCCTTTACAGACCACATAAAACGTAATGAGAAACTTGTCAATAATGCTTCATACTAAAATTGAATTCATTAATTGAGTAGCAGGAATAATTTCGGAAAGAGTGTTAAATCGGGGTCTTTCATTCATTTTTTTTTGATAGACCTTGGTTAAATGCACCTCTTTGTTTGTCAGTGAAAGAGGCCAATGTGTTCAAATGTTTACGAATACGAGAAAAAACCAAACGAAATATTCGTTTACTACATATCACCTTAAGAATACATAAATAGTAAAATATTGACCCATTTTCAGAAACCTCAACACAGAACCACGAAAGATTGCCTCAAGTGATGCTAGAGAAGAAATACGGTGATTCGTTTTGTTTACTCAACCTTATCTCTCATGACAAGGTAAATATAATACAATTTATTTGTATAAACTTTAAAATAACTTCTGTAATATTGTCATTGAACATTATAATTATACTTAAATGTGCATTTAAATGTATTACCTTGATAATTGACGTAACCTGAAAGTAATCTATCAACGAATTATACTGATTTGATACTTCCGGTTTTGGTTTAAAATATAATCCTTTCATATAATAATAATATGTATATTATGAAATAACATAATTATGTAAAAAGTCAATCTAGCTGGTGAAAACCAATTAAATGTAACTATATGGAACCAAAATGACTCAAAATCAATACTCAAATCTAAGAAGTATCTCACAAATTCACAAGTTACTTTGGTTTACCCTACACTGACCCCATAATCTGAATATGCTGAAAAGTTGAGGACTGTTAGGCAATTATATCGGATTTTATTATTGAGAGGAAGTGAAAGTATCGATTCAGAAAACGGCCCATGGTCTATGAGTGACTTAACTTATAGAATAATATTGATTGTAAGTAATTTAATCCCATAAACTGCTGAATTTTATTTAAAGAATTGTCCTACATTTGAATACACTAACTCTGGAATAAAGACTATTTAGGGTTTTCCTGTAAAAACAAACTTTAATTATTATAGTTACAGCAATCTATTGTGTCGGGTAATGCACCGTGATCGGTAAGAGGTTTTTTTCCCTACGTTTTAGCTGGGAAAACCCACATTTGCCGAGTTCTGGATAACGTCTATTGGGAACAATGCAATTGAAGGTTCAAGTAGTTAAATATCAAACACGATATAGACCATAGTCCAACTGCACGGGTCTTTCTTTTTTATGTGTAAGATCTAACGATCCATCAATTCATGATTCATACATCGATCCATCATCCATCGATCAACCGTTCTATAAATCCGTCTGTTCATACAAACAAAAAGATACTTAGGGGCTATGGAACAATAGATAACAGTAAATTTACTTTGATGCTTTTCATTCATTAAGATCTTATGTAGCTACTTTTTCTCTGGCGAAAAGAAAAATAGAGAGCATAAGAGTAGCCATATAAATACGAAACTTTTGAACACGTCCGTCTGTCAGTATTGAACAGATTCATTAAAGAGAGAACTAAGTTGACAAACAGATTTAAGCAAAAAGTTTAAGTCGCCGGTAACAATTATATTGATTGGTGGTCCAATATTCGTGTATTGGAGTGATCTCCACTTGACTTACAATAGATTTAACCTGTTCTCTTTAGTTAACAAATATAGTTAGGCGAAATTCTTATAGTATCCACTAGTAGACATTTCGGAACTATGCATAAGATTGGTAAGGCGTGTATCTGATAATTAAGCTATTGCGTTAGGGCCAATGCGTTCTCCCTGAGAACGAAAAGCGCAAAAAATGACAGTAAGATCGTGACAGTACGACAGAACGATGGTGACAGTACGATAGTACGATAGTACGATGGGAACAGTACAACAGTGACAGAAAGATGGTGAAAATACGACAGTATACAATGAAGAAACTCTACAGTACGATGGTGACAGTCGATCGTACTGTCTTATTGTCACTATCGTACTGTCACCATCGTACTGTCGTATTGTCAAAATCGTACTGTCACCATCGTACTGTCGTACTGACACTATCCTACTGTCGCATTGTCACCATCTTACTGTCACCTTCCTGTCGAGCATGCACAAACATTTCACTCAACATGGCTTGCAAAACTTAGAAGTTATACCGGAGTTTTTTTTTAAAACTTTAACGCTACCACATATCAACTATCAAGGCAATCGAATGCTAACAGAATCTACTTGTATATATGTTAGGCCATTGTTAAAATGAGACTTTATGTCACGTTCAACGATTTCTACCATGTTCTTATTTAATTATGCGCATGCTTAACAGGAACCACAGTAAGATGGTGACAATACGACAGTACGACGGACTTTCACCATTGTATTGTCGTACCTCGCCATCGTACTGACGTATTATCACCATCGTAATGTCGCACTGTCACCATCGTACTGCCACGTTTCGCTGGACCTTACGGAACACCGTAGATGATAACATTCAATTGTGAAAATACGTGCTGAATAGCATGATCAAACACTTGCAGTGTATAATAGCAAATTTTACGTTATTCGTGTCATTTTCCAGTACTCTTAGTGTTATTCATCCTTCTCTTTACCTTTTAATTCTTCAGTAATAATAAGGAAAGTACAAAAGCTCAGTTCTTTATTTAATTCATCTTAAATGATATACGCCTTACAACATGTACAAATAAAGATATTAAATTTGAAATATTTTAAAATGAGGAACAAGTCATAACATAGAACAAACTACAACTTATATCACTACATTTATTATTTATGATAATTGTTGTAACACTTTACATGAAATGAATATGATAAAGAAATTTTGATACTAGAAGACATATAATTCTGTGTCATATAATTATTCTAGTTTTTCTTTATTCTATTTGTTTTATAGAGATGATTCAATGATTCCCTAACAGAGATGATTTGATCACTCCAGATTTGTTATTCTAATTGTCTCAATGATTATAGATTATTTTTGTAATGACTTATTACTATTCGGACAACTGCCAATCTCGATTTTTTTTTTCATCGCTACTCTTTATTCAAGAACTTTGCAGCAATGAGTATTCCACCTGCTGCCCATGCAGCCAGCCAAGCAACTATATCCAGGGCAAACCCATATCCAAAATCGGATCCGCTTCTTTTTACTTTATCAGCAAATACTGCCATAGCAATCATCAAGAAAAGTCCTGAAAGAGAAAACAAAACTACGGATTCACTAACTTTATAATAATTTTAAAACCAATGTTATACCAGTATTTTTTATGGACCAATACATATACATGTAGCACATGTAAGAATAAACGTTTATGTGGAAGAACTTCGCCAATCGGAAATAACTCGAAGCACTTCGCCAACCGAGAATAACTCATTTTAATAAGAACACATACTACGTGATGATGTATTGATTGAAGGAGATTGTCACATATAATTGAGACTCAATTTTTATAACTTTATATTACTTAAAGATTAAAAAAATGTTTAATTTCCAACTTGACTGGTGGAGGAAAACTTCAGGTGTCCCTAGGTAGAACCACCGGCGTTATGTAAGCAAGCTAGATAAGTTTTATAACCCTGTCGGGATTCAAAGTGGTTTGAAGTTTACGACCTTAAACACTCGGCCTCGGACAACCTTATTAATTTGTTTAATATCTAATAATAATTGGATAATGTTTCAATGCATGCTGTTTTTCCGTATGACTTTTTTCATTACATTTGTGCCACATGCCAGGGCGTTTTCCATTATGAGGTACTTACTCAAGAGTAAACCAATATGACGGTTGACCTGTTCCGTAACCATTAAACTGCCTTGGTAAAGTGTTACTACCTAAATCACATGACTTTTAGACAAGAATTAAACTGTCATAATTAGGAAAATACACACATTGGAGAGTATCTACATAAGTAAAGCGAACGTGTTCAGTACAAATTAAGTTAAAGAGGAAACGGCTTGAACCTATTTAACATCTGGTGTTTGATATAACCATTTAAACATTAACATATTTATATACTGACCTGACGCGAAATTCAAGCCTCCAGCTGCAAAGAGCAGCATCTGTTGATCCTTCATTACAAACATCACAAGCACTGCGCACACAACAGCTCCTGTTATTCCGAATATAGCCAAAAATATCATTGCCTTGCACGCCTTGACAGAGTCTTTTTGCTCGTCTGTGGCTAAAGCTAAAGATAAAAAAGAACTCAAACTATTTAGAAATCATTAAAGCGGTTAAAAAAAATTCATGATATGGGAAGATCGTTTGTTAATATTACATAACTTCTATACATTCGTGTAAAGAACGTTTGGCAAACCGGTGCATAATCAAGATCAATGTCAGATTTGAAGGGCAAATTATACTTCAATGCATACTTCATTTGTCTTATATTCTGTTTTTTTCTTTTTTTTAACTTTAATAAAGTTTTCATTACGTTCGACAATGGACAAAACAAATGTGACATCAATGTCTGCTCAGAGAAGTGAGAATAATGTTATTTTTCAAGTTATGTTTTAGGCTTATATGGGATATTTGTGTAATTTGGCCTTCAATCTTTGCAAATGATACATGAAATCGGATTCAATAATCCACAACTCAATGTTCATACAGATTTTTCAGGTCGATTGTGTAGGAAGCATGAAGCTTATAAACACACCCTCAAATCCATTTCTGGAACAAACCAATACTGAGCAACAAGTGTAAAGATACATTGTATTTGCTCAATTAAGCATTATGTGTTTATTTTGGTTTCATGCAGAATGAAAGGGTAAACGACATAAGTGAGTTTAATTATTAAGATGTGTTATAATGTTTGGTTTATACAAATTTATTTTAGTTCGATTGTGTTGGAAGCTATACTAAGCTTATTGAAACACTCTCGAATCCGTTCCTGGAATCAACCAGTACTAAGCAATGAATGTAAAGTTTCTTGCTCAAGGAAACAATGTTCTTATTGAGTCTTTAAAGTCCTTGTTGAAAATTGAGACAAGAGACGTATGCAATTATAAATTGTGTGGCCAACTTATTATAGCTTATAATTATAAATGATTTATACAATTTGAAAGATAAATATTTTGATATTCTTAAATCATTCATATTTCGTGTACCTCCGACTGCTGGTTTGCCTTCATAAACAGTGACCTCTGGATGTGTCCTAACGCTGCATATAAATGGTGCCATTGTTTATTCATTTAACGCAGCAAGTACACTAAAACAAGAACAGCCAGTCTTTATTGGCAGTTTTACGATGGTTATTTTCTTCTTTGTGTATTGTGACAAAGTCACGAGTCATATTCAAATCAAACTTTGCATGATAAAATAAACAAATAAAATAGACTGATAAAACAAACAATTTAAGAAAAAACATTAAGGTAGACGATTTTAGATTTTTAGTAATTTGCCTTGAAACTTATTTTTTTGTTTTGTTCATTTTATGGGAAGGCAGTTCACATCGGATTTAAGCAAAGCTTTGTATGTACATCAATTCCTTTAGAAGTGTTGTATTAAATGTGCTCTTAATGTCAACATTTGCTTTTTTAATTTAATTTTAACCCATCACTTCATATAAACGTCTTTTCATGCCTTTTCGCACCCCCTCCTTTGAGGCCTCAAAATGTGAAAAATACCCTAATTAGGCCCCAAACACTTGTTTTCGTTTGAGAAATGGTCACTCTCGGCGCCATCCCCTATCAAATAGATACAACAATGGCGTGCCAGAAGGGGGTGTGCCACTTTCTGTTTTGGGGGTTTGAAGGGGGGCAGCAGACCCTCTCTTCTCTAAAAAAACTTATTGTACTTGTGAGAGGCTAAAACTTTCCTCAGGTCGACTTTAAGGTAACGTGTAACCAGCGCCGAAAAGCTTTTGACTCTATCTTAATCCATTAAGGAGTTGCAGCACTTTGAAATCAGTTTTGATGGAAAATTCAACGCAAAAAAGTGATTTTTGGCAATTTTGACATGTCCTCTTGTTGCAATGGTAACAGAAACTTTAAGATTGAGTATACCGTTACAAAAGCTATGGTCCAGTCAACATTTGTGCATAGCTTGAACAGTATTGAAGACTTTTTTTATAGTTCCATAGCTATTTGAACTTGTAAATGGAGGCTTTCAAATGAAAACAGCCATATTTCACAAAATGCTCGTGCAGTAATGGGTTTAAGAAGAAATATTTCAGCCAGAAAAAAAAATTGTCAAGAAACGATTAACTAGATTTGCATATAATTGTATATTACCATAAAATATAAAAATCAGATACTTCAAACTTATACTTCAGTTATCTGCCCTTTGAATGACCTAAGATAAGCAAAAAATTCAAATTCAAGGGCAAATTACTTAAAAACTAGACCGTCCGCCCTGATTTTCTTTCACATAAAGTGATTATTTTGTCCAATTCCAAGATCATGCTCAGCTTAAAGAAATTCCAGGAAATTCCAGCAAAACTGAAATAAAAAAAACGAAGAATCTTTTAGATAAAAAGAATAAAGTAATTGTTTTACCTGCAGAAACATCATCAATATCTACACAGGTTTCTGTTGCAGAACCTTTGGAGCATATTTCCCACAATCCGACCTCATAATCAATAGTGGATGTTACCTCGATTATTTCCCATTTCTCGGCCGCCAGTGCTATAATGGCAAAAAGAAGGGCCACTCCAGATACCCCAATGCCTACGAGTCCTATGATGTTTGCCATAACCGCACTGTAGCTAAGCTTGACACGAAATGGTAGTTTGTCAAACAGTTTGTTTACTTTGGTTACCATGTTAAGGACAAGGAAACAGAGGGGAAGGGATCCAAATGCAATTATTCGTTTCTTGTCCACTTTTAATGTGTTTTGTTTGTACGCCGTCAAAATTTTAACTTAATACCACAATTTAGCAATAGTAAGTATTATATACTGAATAACAATTGTAAGTTTATTTATTACAGAACATTAAATTATATACCGAGATATAGGATTATACGGACCTAGGAGGCTTAAAAAAACAGTGTGTAAAGAAAACTTAGTGCTCGCCAATTTTTTTAAGCCAATCACCGACGAGGATTTTTCAAATTTTCAGGTTTCAAATCTTAATAGAACAGATTTTATATAAACTGGACGTTTTATATTATAAAACGCAAGTGGGCGGAGCTAAGTTTCGAAGAGCGCTAAAGTGAAATATACGCATGTGCAGAGATCTTGAAGTTTACTCCTACTAATCAATATTTATGCATCATGTTTTTTCCGTACACGCACATGTATATCGTCACTACGGCATAGAATTAAAAAGAGGTTCATTGAAATGAAAACAGGCAAAATAACAGTAAAAATGTTTTATTACTTACGGAACCAGTATCATTTTATAATTTCCAAATAAAAAGTTCACTTATTCTAACAAAGTATGTATGTAATACATGTATTTCTTACTTTTTATGTAAATATTACAGCCCGTGCCGCTGCAAAACCGAAAGTAGGGTGTTTTTTATTAATTTTACATTTATTTTTGACAATATACTGCCATTTGTCCGAAGATGGTATGTATATGAACATAATAAATATGTATGATGCATATATTATCAAGATACAGGTTCATTTCAGCCCGAAAAATATGTCGAGGTGACGGGCGAGGCAAGACATGTCGACTTTTTGTAGCTTATTGACAAATCAGCACATAAATAAAACATTCTAGTGTTCCGTGGTATACATCTTTTCTACGTGTCATACCTCCTTTCCTTATTACAATGAATTTTTACTGCATTGTTATCCATCGCTGGTTTGTTTTTAGCAGAGAATGACCTGTGTACAGCGTATGTTCAAAGAGGGTACCGTTTGAGAATATTTTGCAAAGAGGGTACCGATATGGATATGCACCGTCATATTGTCTGATTTACCTTATAAGCTATGCAAAACACGTGACCCGTAAATGTGTACCGCTACCTCTTCCAAATATGGTTATACACATTTCTAGGCTATCGTGTGACGTCACGCAGTGTGTTGGGCGGAAAAAAATGGGCGGAGCACTAAGCCGGTTAGAGTGCATATTGGATGTTCTTCGTAAATAAGAAAGCTACAGTCGCTTTGCAAGCTACAGTCGCTTTGCAAGCTCCGCTCCTTTTTAGCTTTCTTATTTACGAAGAACACCCAATATGCACTCTAACCTATACTTAAGCTTTTTACTGCTCTCATGTACTATATAATCTACATGCATATTGATTTTTTATATATACCCACATAGATACAATCTCTACGTATAGACAACCATTCACATATATCAATAATGCGCACTTTCTAAATAGAGACCACAACCGTACCAATTTTATTAATCTTGTTTAAGAAATTAAGAAATTATTTCTACTGCTTGACTAACGAACTAACTTAAGACTGTTTTGTGCATATTTTGACATTAATTTGGTAATGGACGTGGATTGAAAATGCCGTTTGAAAGGGGTATATTACTTTCCTGAAAACATATTCAAAATTATAATAAAATTTAATATGGTTCTGAAGGCATGTTGCTTTAAAGGATTTCCAACTTCAAAATAGAAAAGTGGGCTATCAATAGACTAGAGCCATACACGGCTTCCACTTACTTTCTCTGACTTAGACGATTCTCAAACTCGACTCAGATTATAAAGTCTCATTTTGGCTTTTACAATTAGTAAGCTTAATTCAACATCTATTTTTTTTCTACATAGATTTTTTTCTAAAGACATTAGTTTTGAAAATTATAATGGTTTTGAAAAATTATATACCGGTGAAATCGACATTATCTCGACGCAGTAGAGATATTTTTCATACCGGACACAATTATGTATACGGTATATAAAATACAATTGATAGATCCCGTTTTTACAATATTTACTTCCCTTGCCAAACAATCTACTTATTTATTTATACATATGCATAAAAATATTATACAACAACAACAACAACAACAACATATATTTAGCTATTAAGCGTAATCGTGCTTTTAGCCATAATATACAATTAACATAATGTGATTATAGCAGCAGTATGGAAAAGATTTTTTATCAGTTTTCATGAAGATGATAGTATTATGAAAGATATTTTTATATTATCTGAAGCATATGATTTATTGGGAATAACCCAAAAAATGGCAGCCAGGGGAGGTTATAATTGTTATGCGAAAAGCATCTATAAAATGGTACAAATTTATTGACTTTTAGAATAAAAAATGTTTCACTTTAGACAAAGAAATCTGGACATTTGGATTAAAGGAAATGGTAAAATTCTATGCGCTACGGAGTCATAATTTTGTTATTACCATAATTTGTTTTGGCTTGCTATTTATCGCAATCGTTAATTCTACTTTGTTTTCTGTTTATTGTTACCAAGGCAACCTGCAAAAAAGAAACACTCGTTTGTTACATTTGAGGTATTTTTAAAAGCATATACAGTCTATTTTACTGTTACTTTTTAGGAATATATGACATCGTTAATTAAGATGATAGTACGTACGTCAATGTGAATTAACAATTCGCGCTTTTTCCTTTCATTTCCTTCTGTATTAACAAACTGATAGCATTGATTTAAAAAATATGTAAGGTTATGTTGTGATTGGTCCTTCATGAGAATTTTAAAACGCCATTTTGATTCATAATCTTAAAGAGCCATCGATTTGATATATGAGAGAAATATCTGAGAAAGTATCTCATTTGATTGATCAAGAACTGACCAGAAACAAATAATTTAATCCTATTGAAAGCAGCTCAAATTTCAGCTCGTACGATGTAAAAATGTACACATAATATCTCTTTACTTAAAATTGATCATTTTGTTAAATAATAAAACGAAACTATGCGTTATCAAAAAACCAATTAATATGCTCGACAACCACATGTAAATCAATGTAAATATTTAAGGATCTCCACGGATCCACGTATGTGTTCTAAAGCCTAAAAACATTTCCAAAAGGATTGCCTGTATGAAATAAATGAGCTGCGTCATCACAAAACCAACATAGTGTGTTTGCGACCAGCATAGATCCAGACCAGCCTGCGCATCCGCGCAGTCTGATCAGGATCCATGCTGTTCGCTATCAGTTTCTCTACTTGCTATAGGGTTTGTAAGCGAACAGCATGGATCCTGATCAGACTGCACGGATGCGCAGGCATGTCTGGATCCATGCTGGTCGCAAACCCATTATGTTGGTTTTGTCATGACGCGGGGCAAATATAGTAGTAAATTACTCAGAGAACCATTTATGGACTCATTGTTAAACGGATTAAAACTGACATCTTTTTTCTGTTTTTTGTTTTTCGGTTCAGTAAGACCGCTAGAAGGTCTTTCTTTTGCACGTGCAAAGGTGTGGTCTTGTCAAATAGACCCGGTCATGTAAGGCACGTGATAAGGATGACATGCCTTCGAGCAGATTAAAAATAACATTTAAAGAAATCAGAAATTTAAAAAAAAACGTACATGGTGATTTTAATTCAACAAAAAAAAGCATTAAACAATATAATGTTAATTGATACACTTAAATATGGTGGCTAAATTCTGCCATGTCTTTACTTCGTTCTGTCGCGGTTGAAGGGGGGGGGGGGGGGAGGGACAACACTAAAGAGCGAAATAACGACATAAATATAAATTTTCGCTTCGTCGCACTGTTTTGATCGTTTTTGTCGTTACTTCTTGTCGGCGCCCTTCAAACAAAACGAAAGCGTCGATACGAGATTTCAACGCGACAACACGAATATAAAAAATATCGTTCTGTCAGCCAAATTCGGCGTGTTGGCGCCCTATATTTGGCTTTATCTTGTTCTATCGCCATTGCGTTCCACAGGTGCAATAACACGAAAGAACGAAGAAATGTTAATTTCGTTTCGGCGCGTTGTCGAATCCGCTTAGCGGTATGACTAAAATACGAAAGTGTCTTTGAAATTTTAATTATATAGCGTTGAAATAAAATTTTACAATAAAATTGCAGTTTGAAGACATATATTATCAATTTTTTTTTTCAAAAATAATTATTATGATGATTCAATCGCCATTTATTTCCATAATTTCTATGAACGTCAATTTAGCTGGTAGTTGAATATTCGAATAACCAAGTACTTACAAGCTGGTAGTTGGTTATTAATAATACATAATTACCAACAATTTAACAGGTGGTAGTTGATAATTCAATCCAGTGTTACAGCATGAAATTGACAAACACATCATATGTTTTAAAACACAGAAAAAGGAGGGGACTTAGTTTGTTATTCAACTGCCAACCAGAAGGTATTTGGATATTCAATTCGAACAGAATGTACTTTCCCAGAACTAATATAACATATATACAGTGCGACAGATGTGTTCTGTGTTCGTTGGAAGTTGGAATCATGAATTCGCGTAGTTGGAATCATAAATACGTGAAGTTGAATTCGTGAATTTGTTAAGTTGCAATCGTGAATTCACGAAGATGAAATAAGGAACTGATGAAGTAAAATGTCCCCACCGGTCTTTCGTAGAAGACAGTAAATGAGTGTAGTTACGTAGATATCGAAGTCATTTTATAATTACTTAAGTTACTTATTGGTAAGCAGAAAAATACAAAAGCTTCAATGTATAGTGATAATCAATACAAATATTGAAATTTTCAAAGTCCAAGATCCTATGCATGTAACCCTATATTTTTTCTCTCTATTATACCACTCTCGGGTAATAACTTTAATTCGCAAGGACTTTCCCACTGGTTATTTTTGCAAATTTGAGTCACATAGTAATGTATCGGCGTCTTTCAAATCAGAAGTCAGGTGTAGCAAAAATAAATTAGACACGTGCCTT